TGCCTTGATTTGATATACTGTCACTTGCTAATATTTCATCCTGGTCGTCATGTTGAGGATTTTGATGAGTGGTGGTGGTGCATAGATAAGACGCTTGCCTTTTGTGTGGGAGACCTGAGTTCGTTTCCCACTATGGGACATCCACCATTGTGTCCCTGAGCAAGACACTTAACCCCTTGTTGCTCCAGAGGCGTGCGACCTCTGACATATGTAGCAATTGTAAGTTGCTTTGGATAAAAGCATCAGCTAAATGAATAAATGTAATGATGAGATTCAGATTCTTGACTGTTGTTAACTTCTCCTTTTTCCTCTGACAGAGCTTCCTGAGGCCTTTCGTCATTATCAGGTAGCTCTGAAGGAGGTCTGCTTGGATGTTGACTGATTTCTGAAAGCCATACTTTGCCATCCTCAATAAATACTTGATTGGTTTTGTTGATGCTTGTGAACCATTTATTTTGTTTTTCTTGTTCAGCAGATGGAATTAAATGCATCAGACAATTCAATAGCATTTTCAGACAACTTCTCCAAAACATCCAACTGTTGCTTAACCTTTAAAGCATTTTCATCATCTTTCATGAGCTCCTTGAGAGACAATATCACAGTCTTTATTTTATTCACTTCCAGACCTTTTTCTGTGAGAGTGATTTTTCATTTTTTTCAAATCAGATTTGCCATCATTTGAATCAGCACTTGATCCACTCATTTTTAACATATAAAACAATGAGCGTCACAATGTTTCCAATGTGAATCCAGCAATATCCATAGCCACAGCCGTAGCATGCAAACCACATTAGACATCCAACTTGATAAGCCAAACCAAACACTTCCAATTTCCAGGCATCCCAACGCAGCACCGCGAGCAGCGGTCTCCTGACACAAACTAAACACTTTGCCTTGTGCCAGTAACCGTTTCAAACTGCGCTCCAGTTAGACTATACAGGTGATCAGTTCCATACAGTGAAGATATCCATAAAATACTAGAAACACTGTGAACCACGTTCAGCAAAAATTAGGCATTTCCTCATCACCCCCTCTCTCCTCCTCCCTCCAACGTGAACAGGTGATATCCTAATTTACTATCAGCACCCAAACCATGCAAACCAAAGCTTGTTAGCCACATTATTGGCCTACAACTGTTAGCTAGGACCGCAAATGTCGCTCTTGTTTAAGTGAGGACTTTGAACACACACAACTCTGCTAACTTACAGAGGAATTTCAACAACACAGAGTAGCGTGAGGGGAGGGGACAGCACAGAGAAGTCCACTTTGACCACCTTTTTCTCTCTGTGTTGGATTCAGTGAGCTGTTGACCCCGAGGAAAGAGAACAATGTGGAAAGCAGCAGTGTTTGTGTTCCTGCTGCTAAACATGGATTTGCAGGTGAGTGGGGCTGTAGATAAGACGAGGCGGTCTGTGGCAGAAAACTCCAGGCCAGAGAAGAAGGTGGAGACTGAGGAGGCCGAAGCCACCAGCACCATTCATGCACGTGACACTGGTTCTTCAGGTTTCTTGGGCAACTTGCTGGTGGTACCCATGGATGGGAGTCACTGGGTGGGTATGAAGGCCATTATCCAAGAAATGGGTCGGCGTGGGCACCGGGTCACTGTGGTGATACCAGAGGTCAGAATACGGATGGGTCCAGGGAAACACTACAACACTGTCACCTATCCTGTTCCTTATGACAGGGAGTATATTGATTCAATCATGGCCACACACAAGGACATATTGCACAAATCTGCACAGTCGTTCACGGACAAAATAAGGAAACGATTTTCACAGTTCCAGAGAATAAAAGGCTTTTTCCATACCACTACAGAGAGACTACTGTTCAATGCCAGTATCATCTCACATCTGGCACAGCAGGTGAGTACAAATACAGATGATGAACACAGCATGTTATACTGAATTTGTGAGGAATTTGTATAGACTTTGTCTAATACTCTTTAACCTCTTTTTGGGATGTTGCTGTATTGGATTGTATTATACTGTAAGGTGTTCCTGCTCGTATGCACAAACACTGTATCTACTGAAGTCAGGATAATGGAAGAAGTATTCACATTTTTAGCTATGTAAAAGTGCTGCTAAATATACTTAAACAGTGAAAAGTTCTGATTCTGCAGAAAAACAGCCTGTGATTGATGTATTAGTATAGGATTTTATTTAATTGTTAAAACTGAAACATTAAAGTGTAAACACCATTAAAGTGTTGTAGCTGGTTGAGGTGGAGCTAGCTTAAACTACTATATATAAAATTAGGTATTTCAATCCAGAGGTGTTCAACCGAGGGGTCGGGCCCCTCTAATGGCTGAGTGGTCTTTTGATAATGTTAAAAGAGGAAAGAATAAAAAATTAAGTTGTGCTGCACAATATTGTGTTCACGTGTTGGACTTCTGTAGAATCAATGCATGTGTGTGTACATAGGTAAAAGGTGCTTTATTAGTACAAACTGTTTAAGATTCACCCCCTTCTCTTGTTTTTCCCTCACATCTTTTCACTCTGCAGAAATTTGATGCTGTCTTAACAGACCCATTGATACCCACAGGCTCATTAATAGCTCGGAAATTAGGTGAGTTTTGCCATGCTTTTGTTGTTGGTGTTATCATCTGCACATCTCCTCACTAGTCTTCCCTAAATCCTTTTCAGGTATCCCCACAATTAATTTGCTGAGGGGAATTCCTTGTTCTTTGGATATGTACTCTACGGGCTGCCCCTCCCCGCCGTCATATGTGCCTCGTTTCTTCACTGGATACACAGACAGAATGAGCTTCAAGGAGAGAGCTTTCAACACCTTGGTGAGCACTTATGGCCACATATGCATGGACAGGTGCATGTAGGAAGGATTGCTATGTTTTGATTCTGTAAAATCAACTCTACTCTGCTTTACTAAGTAAACCACAGATAGTCGGGTGGCCTATGTCTGAGATGTTGGCAATGGAACACCTTGAACCAATTAACATGCCACCACTGTCAAACCACCTCACGTCATTCAGTTTGACAATGTAGCAGAAGTCTCTCTACTTTACTGAACATTCAAAATCACATATGTCACGATGGCCCAGTTCCATTTCAGCAGTGGGAGAAGGGAGGGGGCTTCTCCCTTAGAGATAGGGTGAGAAACAAAGTTATCAGTGAGGAACTCTGAGTACAGCAGCTGCTCCTTTGCGTCAAAAGGAGCCAGTGAAGGTGTTTCGGGCCTCTGGTAAGGATGCCCCCTGGCCGCCTTCCTGGGGAGGTGTTCCACGTACGTCCAGCTGTGAGGAGGTCTCAGGGAAGACCCAGGACTTGGTGGAGAGATTATATCTCGACCCCAGATAAGCGGCTGAAGATGGATGGATGGATTTCAGCTCTGCTTGTTTATTTTGACCTGCAGGTGGCTTTACTGGAGCCGCTGCTATGCCGACTGCTGTTTTGGCACTTTGACAACATAGCCTATGAGTTCCTGGGAGAGGAGGTAGGCGTGGCTGAAGTGCTGTCAGACTCTGCTATCTGGCTGCAGAGGTAACATGTACAAAGGTTGTTATTTGGGAGAAGAATACACAAAAACCTTGACTGTCCTGTAGAAATACACATATACTATTGCACTGAAACAGGGGAGGTATTTAATGCAAAGGTAATTTTACTGTTGCTGCTATTTTGTGCCACTAATGAACACTGAAAGAAAAACATTATCTGTCCCATATTCACATAAATATTGTGATACTGTGTTTAAACAGGATTGACTTTGCGCTGGAGTTGCCACGCCCTCTCATGCCGAATATAGTTCTAGTTGGTGGAATCAACTGCAATGCGAGAAACCCTCTGCCTGAAGTAAGCTCCATATGTTTTGGATTTTAATGCAGGGAGATGGAGATAGATAAAGAGAGATCAATGCAGACCTACTGTGTGTGTGTTTTGTGCAGGATTTGGAGTCCTGGGTGTCAGGAGCGCATGGCTTTATAGTGTTCACTCTGGGCACAATGGTGTCAGACCTGCCAAAAGAGATAACCGCCGTCTTCCTAGAAGCCTTCAGACAGATTCCACAGAAGGTACAGGAATATATGAACATGTGTTAAAATGCATTTTAAATCATACATCAATGCAATAAATGACACTGTTTTTATAGGTAATATGGAGGTACACTGGGCAGGTTTCAGAAAGTGTCCCAGAGAATGTGAAGATGATGAAATGGGTGCCTCAGAATGACCTGCTAGGTGTGTAAATCCACTGTAACACATTCCTGAAACTGGCCCATGATGGTTCACATACCGTAACATCTGACATCCTGTGTTGTGTGTTAGCACATCCTGGAGCTCGAGCTTTCATCACTCACGCTGGCTCACATGGTCTCTTTGAGGGACTGTGTCACGCTGTTCCCATGGTGATGGTGCCAATTGTGGGGGACCAGCCTGACAATGCAGAGAAGTTGGCGAGCAGAGGAGCGGGAGTGGTGTTGGATATTGTGTCGATCAATACAGGAAGTCTTCTTCAGGCCTTGAATGAGGTCATCAATGATTCCAGGTGAGGGGTCAGTTTAGAAAGGGCTCCTTTAATCTTGGTGCTGATAAAGATAAAAATATAAAATCTGCTTTTCACAATATCTACTTTACTTTTGTGATGTATTCTTCAACTCTTGCTGTCAATCTGTTTCCGTCCAGGTATAAAGACAGTGTGCAGAAGCTGTCAGCTCTCCATAAAGACAGACCAGTTGACCCACTTGACCTTTCAGTGTACTGGACAGAATTTGTGATGCGGCACAAAGGGGCGAAACATCTCAGACCTGCTGTCCATGAACTCAACTGGCTCCAGTACTACTGCCTGGATGTAATAGCGCTACTGGCTACTGTTGTGTTGTTTTTTGTAATGGTGACAGTAAAATGCTTGAAACTATGCCTCTGGATACTGAGCAGAAAGAGGAAGCAGGACTAACCTGGTGTTACCTTTGCACCTTCATCTAAGCAACAACACTGTTTGTTAAGGGAGATTGAAAAGTCAATACCATTCAAATATTAGTGCAAAGTAAACCTGTTTATGGTTTAAAGGGGAGACATGGTGTAAGATGAATAAGGGAATCTATGAGGTGATCAAAAAGATATTTAATAAACAGAAAATATAGAATATTATTAGACTCCATTATGGACTGGGCTTGAGGGACAATGATGAATATGTTGTCTTTACTACAGTGTAGGAGCTGCTGCTTTCCAAATAGTTAAATTCTTCATTGCAAAATGAATAGTTGAGTCGTAGCTAAGCTTGTCTTGGTGTTTACTGTGACTCTCAACATCTTCTTACATAGACAGGTAACAGTGTAACACAACAGAATACCAAATATCACCGTTTTGTTAGATACATGAGTTTTTCCCTATGTAAATATAAGTAAAATAAAATGTTTTAATTACAAATGATTTTTTCATCCTTCTGTATAAATAATCTTTTAACATTAATCTATGTACTGTGAAACTATTTACTCACGACATTGCCTCTCTGGTATTTACAAGTAGGGGAGACCGGGTATGGTTTTTTGCTTCAGCAACTGTAACTCGCTGAATTTGAACTCTCTGAAAATTGCTTTGCTTTCCCTCTTTGATTCAATGTTGAACATGGACAAGTGATAAGTGGTTTTGGTTTCTCTACACCTTGACTTAGCAACAGTGTATATTACAAATGGGAGGCTGGGAGTACAGGGCCCGCAAAGAAATGGGATCCTGCAGTTAAGACGAGGCAACTGCAGAATGCTGATTCTAGCAACAAACTAGTGAACTATTTCTGACCTTTGGGTAACAGCGCCTCCCCTACATTCTCACCTTGTGTACAAAATAATATACAGGAAAGGAGGTCTTCGCTTCTCGGCTTCAGACGTTTTACCTTCCCCATGCACCTTGGAAGAAGGTTAAGCTGCGCCAGACATCCCTACTATTCTGCAAAACACTGCCTGTGCCTCCACTGAAGCTTTCCCCAGTCCCCCAGGTGCAGTATCAGCTGATTGCATGCTTTCTTTTATGTATGAATAGCAATAAATCATATGACACCTTGTCACTGAAAGTCCCACATTAATGGCCTATAACTGTTAGCTAGGACTGCAAATGTCGCTCTTGTTTAAGTGAGGACTTTGAACACACACAACTCTGCTAATTCACAGAGGAATTTCAACATCACAGAGTTGCGTGAGGGGAGGGGACAGCACAGAGAAGTCCACTTTGACCACCTTTTTCTCTCTGTGTTGGATTCAGTGAGCTGTTGACCCAGAGGAAAGAGAATAATGTGGAAAGCAGCAGTGTTTGTGTTCCTGCTGTTAAACATGGATTTGCAGGTGAGTGGGGCTGTAGATAAGACGAGGCGGTCCGTGGAAGAAAACTCCAGGCCAGAGAAGAAGGTGGAGACTGAGGAGGCTGAAGCCACCAGCACCATTCATGCACGTGACACTGGTTCTTCAGGTTTCTTGGGCAACTTGCTGGTGGTACCCATGGATGGGAGTCACTGGGTGGGTATGAAGGCCATTGTCCAAGAAATGGGTCGGCGTGGGCACAGGGTCACTGTGGTGATACCAGAGGTCAGCATACGGATGGGTCCCGGGAAACACTACGACACTGTCACCTATCCTGTTCCTTATGACAGGGAGTATATTGATTCAATCATGGCCACACACAAGGACATATTGCACAAATCTGCACAGTCGTTCACGGACAAAATAAGGAAACGATTTTCACAGATCCAGAGATTTATAGGCTTTATCTACACCACTGCAGAGCACCTACTGTTCAATGCCAGTATCATTTCACATCTGGCACAGCAGGTGAGTACAAATACAGACGATGAACACAAGATCAGCATTAGGTGTAAAATGCCTTGCATGTTATACTGAGTTTGTAACATTTGTTAACTCTACACTTCTTCAATGAAGTGTTTCTGATTCTGGTGTTCCAGCACTTGTGTACAACTCTCTATCTATTAAAATTAGGATAGTGGTGAAAGAAGTATTTACATTCTTTATTTATGTGAAAGTATACTAAAAAATATAATAAAATATACTAAAACATAATTTTGTGTTCACTTTTTGGACTTTTCTCTTATTTTTGTTTTTGTTGCAAAATATTGGAGAACTTTACCCCTATGGGCGTGAAACACATGAAACCATGTGTGAAGTTTAGAGGGAAAATGGCTCTGAAACATGACAAGAGGCCCTAATCAGACACTGTTTTTTTTAAGCCAAAGAGGTTAACAGCCACTGGTTTAGTCATTGACAATGCATTGTATTTGATATGTTTATCCTACTGTATGCTTTTGTTGATCGAGAAGAATGGTACATTTGTTAATGCAAAACAGTGATCTGTCTTATCCGATGATCAGCTTCCCTCTTCTGTAGAATCAATGCATGAGTGTATATGTAGAAGGTGCTTTATTAGTACAAACTGTTGACGATTCACATCCTTTTCCTTTTTTCCTTTTCCCCTTTTCACTCTACAGAAATTTGACGCTGTCTTAACAGATCCTGTGGTCCCCACAGGCTCGTTAATAGCTCGGAAATTAGGTGAGTTTTGCCATGCTTTTATTGTTGGTGTTATTGTCTGCACATCTCCTCACTAGTCATCCTTAAATCTTTTTCAGGAATCCCCACTATTAATTTGCTGAGAGGAATTCCTTGTTCCTTGGATATGCACTCTACAGGCTGCCCCTCCCCACCATCATATGTGCCTCGTTTCTTCACTGGATACACAGACAGAATGAGCTTCAAGGAGAGAACTTTCAACACCTTGGTGAGCACTAATAGTCAGATATGCATGGACAGGTGCATGTTTTTTTTTGTAAAATAGGTAGGTAGATAGGTTTATTGTCACAATATAACAAGTTATAGAGTGAAATTGAGATTTGTAACTCTCTTCTGCTACATCTCAGACAATATACATTAATAAAGAATCAATTATGAAAAATGGTAAAGAAATAAACTATCATCACTGGAGCAGTGACGAGGATGAATTAGAGTTTAATAATAATCTTTATTTGTAGAGTTTAAGAGTCTGATAGCTTGGTGGGAAAAGCTGCTCTGCAGTCTGGTGGTGTGACAGCAGAAACTTTTACACTGTGTGCAGAATTATTAGGCAAGTGAGTATTTTGACCATATCATAATTTTTATGCATTTTTTCCAACTCCAAGCTGTATAAACTTGAATGCTTATTGGATTTAAGCATTTCAGGTGATGTGTTTTTGTGTAATGAGGGAGGATGTGGCCTAAGGAGAAAAAACACCCTATATCAGGTGTGCATAATTATTAGGCAGCTTCTTTTCCTCAGGAAAATGGGCCAAAAAAGAGATTTAACTGACTCAGAAAAGTCAAAAATTGTAAAAAGTCTTTCAGAGGGATGCAGTACTCTAGAAATTGCTAAGATATTGGAGCGTGATCACAGAACCATCAAACGTTTTGTAGCAAAACCTCAACAGAGTCGCAAGAAACGTGTTGAAAAAAAAAAACGCAAATTAACTTCCAAAGATTTGAGAAGAATCAAACGTGAAGCGACCAGGAACCCATTATCCTCCAGTGCTGTCATATTCCAGAACTGCAGCCTACCTGGAGTGCCCAGAAGTACAAGGTGTTCAGTGCTCAGAGACATGGCCAAGGTAAGGACGGCTAAAATCCGACCACCACTGAACAAGAAACATAAGTTGAAACGTCAAGACTGGGCCAGGAAATATCTGAAGACAGATTTTTCAAAGGTTTTATGGACTGATGAGATGAGAGTGACTCTAGACGGACCAGATGGATGGGCCCGTGGCTGGATCAGTAATGGGCACAGAGCTCCACTTCGACTCAGATGACAGCAAGGTGGAGGTGGGGTAATGGTATGGGCTGGTATTATTAAAGATGAGCTAGTTGGACCTTTTCAGGTTTAAGATGGACTCAAAATGAACTCCCAAACCTACTGCCAGTTTTTTCTTCAAGATACTTTCTTCAAGCAGTGGTACAGGAAAGATGAAGGTGCAAAGGTAACACCAGATTAGTCCTGCTTCCTCTTCCTGCTCAGTATCCAGAAGCATAGTTTCAAGCATTTTACTGTCACCATTACAAAAACCAACACAACAGTAGCCAGTAGCGCTATTACATCCAGGCAGTAGTACTGGAGCCAGTTGAGTTCATGGACAGCAGGTCTGAGATGTTTCGCCCCTTTGTGCCGCATCACAAATTCTGTCCAGTACACTGAAAGGTCAAGTGGGTCAAAAAAAGTCTACATCTTTCAAGAAGTCCATGATTTTTATGCAGGACAATGCTCCATCGCATGCATCGAAGTGCTCCACTGTGTATGGGAGGCTGTGGTGGCTGCTGCACAAAAAGTTGATCATCAACAGATCAAGAAACTGACACTCAATGTTATTGAAAAGAAGGGTGGCTATATTGGTCACTGATCATTTTTTTTTAACTGTCAGAAATGTTTATTTGTAAACTGAGTTGTTTGTTTCTGTAATTCTCACTTTAACAGATTAAAATAAACTGTCATTTATTTAAAAAAAAAAGTGAGATGGGAAAATTTTCATTTTGCTGCGTAATACTTCTGCACACTAAGAGTTGCCTAATAATTGTGCACACATATATTCTCCTAAGAAAGCCAAAACCTCACTTTTGCTTTCTTAAATATTCAGGATTTTCATTTTGGATTGACTGAGAGCACGGTATTTGTTCAATAATAAAATTAATCCTCAAAAATACAACTTGCCTAATAATTTTGCACACAGTGTATATCTCTTCCCAGAAGGCAGCAGGGTGAACAGGCTGTGGCAGGGTGGGTACTGTCCTTTAGTATCCTTTGGGCTCTGTGCAGGCACCTCACCTCACCGATATCAATGATGCTCGGGAGATGGGTACCAATGATCTTCTGAGCAGTTTTAAATCATCCGCTGCAGAGCCCTCCGGTCCTGGGCCGTACACATCCCATGCCAGTTTGTGATTTATCGAGTCAGGATGCTTTCTATTGCTCCCCTGTAAAAGCTGACAAGAACTTGGCGTGGGAATTTGGCCTTCTGAAGCTTCCTCAAGAAATACAGTCGTTTCTGAGCTTTCTTCACCAGCGTGGAGATGTGAGATGACCATGTCAGGTTCTCTGTGATGCTGATTCCCAGGAACCTGAAACTGTTCACCTGCTCCACCTCAGGTCCACTGATCTAGACAGGAGTGTGTGTCTTTATCTCCTTCTTCCTGAAATCAACAATCAGCTCTTTAGTTTTGCTGACGTTGAGCAGTAGGCTGTTCTCTGAGCACCACTCTACAAGATTATGAATTTCCTCCCGATATGAAATCTCATCGTTGTTTGAAATCCGGCCAAACTTTACAACAGAGTTCTCTTCGTGTCGGGGGATTCAGTCGTGGTTGTACAGCGTGAACAGGAGGGGCTTAGCACACAGCCCTGGGGGGTTCCAGCGTTGAGCACTATAGTGGAGAAGGTGAGTCCGCCAATCTGAATTGACTGGGGTCTGTTTGTGAGGAAGATCAATATCCAATTGCAGAGTGTTGTATTTAAACCCAAAGTGCTGAGTTTGCTGATCAGTTTCATGGGGGAGATTGTGTTAAATGCTGAGCTGAAATCCACAAACAGCATTCTGTGTAGGTGTTTTTCTCAAGGTGTGTGAGGGCTGAATCAAAATCAACTCTTTCCTTTTTTAAGTAGAGCACAGATTATGCGTTGATCAAACTAATCCCTCTACTTCATTTTTCATTTATTTTGCTATTTGTTACACAATACTACAGAAATTGTAGGTAGCCTATTTCTGAGATGTTGGCAATGAAAAACCTTGACCTGACCAACATGCCACGACTGTCAGACCACCTCACGTCATTTAGTCTGGCAATGTGGCAGAAGCCCTAAGTGTCTCTCTCTCTACTTTAGGTCACGATGGCCCAGTTAAACTTGGACTTCCATTTTAGCACTGTTAAAATGTAACATAGCCTACATAACTGAAAGCATCACTGTCATTTCATGTAGAAGGTGCTTTATTAGTACAAACTGTTGACATCATGTTGTGTATTTTTTTGTGATGCCTCTGACCTGCAGGTGGCTTTACTGGAGCCGCTGCTATGCCGACTGCTGTTTTGGCACTTTGACAACATAGCCTATGAGTTCCTGGGAGAGGAGGTGGGCGTGGCTGAAGTGCTGTCAGACTCTGCTATCTGGCTGCAGAGGTAACATGTACAAAGGTTGTTATTTGGGAGAAGAATACACAAAAACCTTGACTGTCCTGTAGAAGTACATATTGCACTGAAACGGGGGAGGTATTTAATGCAAAAAGTCCTTTGACTGTTGCTGCTATTTTGTACCGCTAATGAACACTGAAAGAAAAACATTATCTGTCCCATATTCACATAAATATTGTGATACTGTGTTTAAACAGGATTGACTTTGCGCTGGAGTTGCCACGCCCTCTCATGCCGAATATAGTTCTAGTTGGTGGAATCAACTGCAATGTGAGAGACCCTCTGCCTGAAGTAAGCTCCATATGTTTTGGATTTTAATGCAGGGAGATGGAGATAGATAAAGAGAGATCAATGCAGATCTACTGTGTGTGTGTTTTGTGCAGGATTTGGAGTCCTGGGTGTCAGGAGCGCATGGCTTTATAGTGTTCACTCTGGGCACCATGGTGTCAGACCTGCCAAAAGAGATAACCGCCGTCTTCCTAGAAGCCTTCAGACAGATTCCACAGAAGGTACAGGAATATATGAACATGTGTTAAAATGCATTTTAAATCATACATCAATGCAATAAATGACACTGTTTTTATAGGTAATATGGAGGTACACTGGGCAGGTTTCAGAAAGTGTCCCAGAGAATGTGAAGATGATGAAATGGGTGCCTCAGAATGACCTGCTAGGTGTGTAAATCCACTGTAACACATTCCTGAAACTGGCCCATGATGTGTCACATACCGTAACATCTGACATCCTGTGTTGTGTGTTAGCACATCCTGGAGCTCGGGCTTTCATCACTCACGCTGGCTCACATGGTCTCTTTGAGGGACTGTGTCACGCTGTTCCCATGGTGATGGTGCCAATTTTGGGGGACCAGTCTGACAATGCAGAGAAGTTGGCGAGCAGAGGAGCGGGAGTGGTGTTGGATATTGTGTCGATCACTACAGAAAGTCTTCTTCAGGCCCTGAATGAGGTCATCAATGATTCCAGGTGAGGGGTCAGTTTAGAAAGGGCTCCTTTAATCTTGGTGCTGATAAAGATAAAAATATAAAATCTGCTTTTCACAATATCTACTTTACTTTTGTGATGTATTCTTCAACTCTTGCTGTCAATCTGTTTCCGTCCAGGTATAAAGACAGTGTGCAGAAGCTGTCAGCTCTCCATAAAGACAGACCAGTTGACCCACTTGACCTTTCAGTGTACTGGACAGAATTTGTGATGCGGCACAAAGGGGCGAAACATCTCAGACCTGCTGTCCATGAACTCAACTGGCTCCAGTACTACTGCCTGGATGTAATAGCGCTACTGGCTATTGTAGTGCTGTTTTTTGTAATGGTGACAGTAAAATGCTTGAAACTATGCTTCTGGACACTGAGCAGAAAGAGGAAGCAGGACTAACCTGGTGTTACCTTTGCACCTTCATCTAAGCAACAACAAGGGAGATTTAAAACTTATTACTATTCAAATATTAGTGCAAAGTAAACCTGGTGATGGTTTAAAGGTGTGACATGGTGTAAGATGAATAAGGGAATCTATGAGGTGATCAAAAAGATATTTAATAAACAGAAAATATAGAATATTATTAGACTCCATTATGGACTAGGCTTTGAGGGACAACGACGATTAGTGGCCACCCTTCTTTGGTGGGAAGAGGGCGTACTCGACAGCCAGAGCAACAGTAAAAGCAGCAAAGCCCCACTTGAATCCTCTCAGCAGCACATCAGACAGAGTCACAGCACGGGCAAAGCCGCCTGAGTATCTCCAAGCCTCGTTACTGCAGAGACAGCGTGAGAGGAGAGAAAGATAGGGAGCAGGATCAGGAATAATAATTACTAAAATATCAGCTATATATGTTATGTTGGTATATATACCGACCGTGCCCATGGATCCTTGAGTCCCCTGGCTGCCAGCCTCTGCTGTGTGAACTCCAGTGGTGTTCCCTCTGCTTTCCACTGCCGCCAGTCTGGCATGGACATCTTGTTGTGGCCATGGTCACCTCCCATGCTGGAAACAGATACAGATATATGCAAGGTGGCAGCTAATATTAAATACCCCCTAAGCTTACCGGTAGACACCTCATTTTGTACCTACCAGTACTCTACTACAAACCTTATTACTAAGCACTAATGTTATATCATATAGAGATTTAAGGCATTTTAAACTGGTCTAATCACAACATCTTGGGAAAAATATCTATATTTTAACATCACATTATGTACTGTTTTATATTTTACTTGTTTTGATTAAACTATGCTTCCAAGCAACACCTGGTTCCTGGTATCTAGATGTTTTTATGGTGTTGTTAAATGTGTACTGGTCTAAATAAATACACAAATAACATTATACAAACTATCTGACATCAAACCTGCCCGAAGCTTCCTACTATAAAACGTTACTTAACATTTGATTTGACACATGCGAGTTATCAATGACTATCTTAATCATTGCTAGTGATTATTTGTCAAACTTGCCTACCTAAAATAAACGATGCAATAGTACATTATGAACCCAAACGTTGATCAGGACAGACTGCACACAGCGTTTCCTCAGCTAGCATTATAGCTAACATCGTTCTCTCTCTAGATAAATAAAACGGCAGCTTTTGTTCTAAGACGCATTATCTATACTTCCGTGTGTGTAAATGTTTTCACCCTCTACGAAAGCTCAACAAAACATGCGTCAAATATGTAACATGTTATTTAATACGCACACTGTACCTGAGCGGCTTGTTGTGACCTCTGATGCTGGACTAAATGTTGCGACAGCCACCGTTGTTTTGCGGCAAAACTACGGCACAGTATTCTGGACAAAATACCTTCTTCTGCTTTTTTTTAACTTGGCAGACTAGACGCAGCCACGTCGTATTGCTGCCCTCCACTGTTTGTTGTTCACTATTCACATCTTTGTCAATAACAATAGGCTACCTCTTATATTATCCATTATTACTAAATTATTCCATCAGGTTCTCCATTTTGTTCCAGCTATCCAGATTAAATAGAGTGCATACATTAAAAACAGTTTCTCCAGTAGCTCCCAGGTCACTGAACATTTTCCACCTCTGGCGAGAGAACCGTTTGCAATTATCTAGTAACGTTACATGCTTCAGTTTCCTTGTCTCCACATTCCCATGTTTACCAATCAGAGCCAGCTCACTCCTCAGCCTGTATAACAACTGCATCCCTTCTCTTGCATTAAAAAGTGCATGTTTTCTCTCTCTACAATTCTCTGTACTGAAAAATATGAACTCCCTTCCTTTCATTCTCCCATGAATTTTGCCACATTTCGTTTACAGCCCTATGTATTTTTTTCCCATGTATATAACTGAATCCTACTGTAAATACATTTGCACTCTTTCCTCCTGTCCCCGCTATCTACAAAACAAAGCACTATGTTAACAATGTAAAATTCTTATTTATCCATATAAATTGCCTACTCTAAATTTTTTTATTACTGTTCAGGATCACAAAATTATATCCTACTGGCATCAACAGATATACAGTGTGTGACAAAAAAATATTTTATTAGTCTTTTATTATGCAATGTTCTTAATTCTACTAACAATAAACTTTACTTGTCCGTTTCTCCTTCAAAATTAAGAACCTTTTCCTCACATCTCAAGATATTTTATGCAAAGAGGTGTTTTGTAACATTGTTCACTACAGGGTTAAAAGTAACAATTACTGTATATCAAAGACAGTCAATGACAATCTTAGACTTACAAAGAATTACATGATCAGATCCCTGTAAAAGAAAAGGGGGATTTGACTTTCACTGTAGGAGCCTTGTCCCAGGTCCAGACTAAAAATAAAAGGGGATTTTGTTTTTGACATTGTAGCTCCTGACTTTGAAGCCTCAAAGAAAACTAAATCAGTGCTTTTTACTTACTAAATTACAAAAGACATTGGAAAAATTACCCAGGAAAATAACCAGACAGTTGCATACTATTAATTACATACAATTATGTACATGATTTGCATAATACATCACACCATCTTATAACCAGGCCACCATGGTGTCTTGTTTCTTTGACAGTGCTTGAGGCATCTGATGCAGCGCGATGTCCATGAAGCTTGTTGGCCAAATGTGCTCAGAAGCCAACGCATAACACACACTGACTGTCACAAAACTGAATTAGAGTTTGCTTTGTGGGTTGAGCAGGTCCTTCAGAGCCTCCAGGTTCTCCCCCTCTGGAGCGTCGGGCCATGCGTTGTGGTCTGGAGACAAACAGACATGGTTTAATATAGTATACTGTACAGTATATACTGTAAACTGTGGATGTGTTAGCTAGATGTACATACGGGGTATCTCCCACATGCAGCGGTACAGACTCTGTCCTGCATCAACCCTCAGGGTGGCTCCAGAGATGTAGGAGGCAGCAGGAGAGAGCAGGAAACACACCGCAGATGAGATCTGAACATAGAAACATGAACAAAAACTGAGAGTAAAATCACTTTAATACTCACTTTCATATTTTGTTGTTCTGCATGTGTATTACTTCCAAGAACACTGCAATGCGTGGACTTTTTAAAGCTGCCCTGAGTTTCACAAGTGCCTTTCCTCAAGGAACGGTGGGTGTCCCTACATGGTTACCTCTTCTGGTAGCCCCAGCCTCTTTGCAGGGCTAAATGGAACAGACATCTTGAAGAGATTTGGTCCAAACTCCTTATAGTTCTCCATTGCAGTTTTGGAAAAGATTGTGCCCTGCAACGAGACAAATGCACACACCTTAAATGACGACATAATTAAAGACCTCCAGCACTGAATCTGCGTTAACCCACGACTTGTACTTACAGGTGCAACAGCATTGACTCGGACTCCTGAGACTGCCCACTCGATGGCCAGAGTCTTTGTTAGGTTGTCCACGGCTGCCCTCGCTGCTCCTGTGTGGCTGTCAGGGAAAGGTGAGGAGTCAGAAAATGAAAAGAGTGTGTGAGTCATATATTTATGTGAGAATTTGGTGGGCGGTGCTGCTTACGCCATGCCTGGGAAGCCTTTCCACATGTCAGCAATGATGTTGACGATCACGCCGCCGTGCTGTTTCATCCATGCAGTGTAGACTGTTTGGGTAGAACAGCAATACGGTCACACTGAGAGCTTTTACAAACATACACTGGACCAGGATTAACTGTCTGCATCTTACCCTCCTGGCAACAGTGGAAGGTTCCAGTCAAGTTGGTGTCTATCACAGCTTTCCAGCCTTTAGAGGACATGTCTTCTGCCGGGCTGCTGAACTGGCCGCCTCCATTGTTTACCAGAAAGTCTATCCTGCCGTACTGCTTCAGCACTGATGAAACAAGAGCCTTCACCTGCCGCACAGGGAATAAAACCAAGATGCCGCCATGAAAACACACGATCATGCGCTGACATGAAACAGCAGCTGCAGAGACTGAAGGTGCGTGCGTGGGCCCACCTCATCCTCTTTTCGGATGTTACATGTTAGAGGAGTGACACAGGCGGGGCTGGAGGGAGGGATGTTCTGTCTCATCTCCTGAGCTGCCGCCTCCAACCTCTCCGCCTTTCTACTGGAGATCACCACACTGCAACCTGCAGGCAAAACACTTAGCCATGAGCCGAAGAGAGTGGACTGCTCAATAAATAGTTCTTATTTGGTTATGTGATGTAATTATTGAGAACAAAGTCACTGCAATTATAACGGACACTTTATTGTTATGTCAGGCCAACATATGAAAGTTATTCAACAATGACAAACTCAGTGGGTGAAATAAGTCTAAAGTTACAAAAAGCCAAAGGTGGACCAGAATACTTTGTCCAGGTGTTGGACTAAATTCTTTGACCCCTCACATTCTGTGATCCTTTGGGCACTATTAAAGGTTTTAATCATACTTTTTCACTTCATTTTGGTAGCTAATATTGTGCTTCCACGGTATTTAAATAGTGTTACAAATGTCAAGGTCTTTGCTGGTTTGACAGTCAGGTTTAAACAGCCTCTACTTCTGTGTCAAAGTTCACTTGGCTCTGGTTATCAGCTGCTTTTCGCTTCAAACCGCCTGCTCTGTGGAAAAAACACGTCTCAAGTCTTTACCCAAAACACCGCTTCACTCACCCAGCGCCAGCAGCTCTGCAGAGATAGCTTTACCGATACCGGTCCCTCCACCCGTGACTATCGCCACTTTATGGTTGAACAAGCCCGGTCTGAAAACACTGGACGCCGCCATACTTGTTTCTTCTCCCTGCGGAAGAAAAGCGCGACACTTCGCCCCCTGCTGGACTTTTGTGGTCTCACGCATCACAGGTGTTTTCTACAAGGTTTAATTTTCTTAATAAATATAGAGCATATTTGTTAATACAATATATATTGTGTATTGTATATTTTGTATTATACATTGTTTCAATAATTGGAATAAATTGGAATTTTTTGTTTGTACAACTGAATGCCAGAAAGCAAAAAACAACAAAAAAAAACCAACACTTTTATCAATCTTAAAAAATAGTGTTTAATACCCATAGATTGTCTCTAACTTGTGTTCTATTTATCTTTCTTAAATGTTGTATTGTTTGTATGTACGCTGATTTGTACTACCACAAAAGTGCTGCAGCCACTGTATGTATACATGCATATACTATGTAACTAAAAACCCACTTATTACCACTATATAGAGTAATTATTACCAATACAATATCTGTTGCACTATTTGTATTTGTTTACACTTGACTTGTATACACTCTGTATGTTGTTGGTCATTGACACTTACACATATGTGTAAGTGTATATACATAATGGTTAAATGTTTATCTGTCTTTGTCGTTATTTTTAGGTTTGTCCATTTCTGTAACTATAACACTGAGAGCAACTAGAGACAAATTCCTTGTATGTGTACCATGATGTGCGCACATTCTTGGCAAAAAAGCTGATTATATTTACACCTGTGCCAAAAATGAAAAAAACAACAACTTTGTACTTCTAATTTGCATGTGTTTCCTATTCATACAGAAATGCCATCAACAACAGACTGAACTTGGTCTGAATGTCCACATATTCACTTGTTTTGTCGTGGTCCATCAAAATGACAGAACACAAAATACACTCTGTAATATACAGTTTATATGGCTCTAAATAAGGACCCCTCAGAGTACTAGTAATATATCTTTTCCACAGCAGACACTCATAAGCTATTGCAGGAAATACACCAGTGTAACATTATGGCTTAGTGACATTTAGGTGTGCCTGTCATGTCAGCTAAGATGTGTAATAACAAACCCAAGGTACTAGCTACATAGAATGCAGCCATTATTATTTAACACTGAGCAATTCAAAAGTACTTGCTCTGCAGAGTATTTATCAAATGATCATTAATAATTTATAATTAACATGCATAGTTTCAGTGAGATATTTTCACCTTTAGCTCCAGCAGCAGCAGAATTATTTAATTTGCTGTGGAATCAAAACGGGAAAGGGCACTGTGGCGGAACAACATATTTCAAATGCAAAGGCTTTCATTGTACACAGAAGTGTCCTATATTCATTACTTAACTCCATTATTAGGAGTCCATCAGGAGTCGCGGGGGGGCTGGAGCCAATCCCAGCTGACATCGTGCAAAAGGCGGGGTACACCCTGGACAGGTCGCCAGTCCATCGCAGGGCCACACATAGACAACCAATCACACTCACACCTAAGGACAGTTTAGGGTGACCAATTCACCTAGCCTGCATGTCTTTGGATGGTGGGAGGAAGCCAGAGCACCCAGAGAGAACCTACACATACTTGGTGAGAGCTTGCAAACTTCACACAGAAAAGCCTGGAACGACCAAGGTTCCAATCCACAACCTTCTTGCTGCAAGGCAACAGTGCTAACCACTGCACCATTATCAGGAGTGGGAAAAAAAATAAAAATTTATAAAGTGGGTTATTCATCTAATTTGCTAAAATAAAGATCGCAGGTGTTTACTGCCAAGAAGAACCCCTTTATTGAGTTATGGCACCATTATATGCAAGTCTACCAAGACAGCTGTACTGTTTTTGATGGTGCAACTATCTAACTTACACAGATTTGGTGAGGCATCCTCTTGTAGTTACTATGGGCCACAAGTTTCGATTTTACGGCTACATAATAAAACAGATGCACAAAGACACAGAATTCCGCTCCAGACCGCTTTATTTTTGGATGTTGAGGCCATGTCCAGGTCGGTTAAATTATAGAAAACAGAGTCCCAAATCCACCAGTGATCATCGCACTTGGTTTACTGGTCCTTCAACTCCTTCAGTCTCCTGATGGCGGACTTGACTGTGACAGCGGACGTTGTGCTGCAAAAAACAAAATTACTTATCAGTTGGTGTACGCATTTTAAGGAAAACTCCCAACTTCCACAGCCAGAGGTTCCCTTCCACCACATTTCCGTGACCCAACCCTAACCCACAGAACATCTGTTTATCAGGAACTAAAAACTGTCATGAAAACCTTTGCTGTTGCTCCACTTAGTCATGCTAATAGATGTCATTCATGCAAGTTTTTAAATTTCCATTTGCATTAAAATTATATATATCAATGCTCTGTATGTGTTTTGAATGAGTTTGTCAGATATGCAACACTTTCTGCTTGATAATGAAATTAGCTTCAACTCAATGTGCACAGCTTAGATTAAGTCAATGAGTGTTTCTACTAAAAGAACCTGTAGAATACCTTTTTAAACATACTTATGGAAAAAACTGTAGAGGAAAGTAAATCAGCATTTAGCTGTCTACAATCACAGAAATGCTTCATTGATAGTACAGAAAAGTTGCTCAATGGAATAATTTTCATTTGATGTGCTTTGCAGTAGATTGGTAAAGACCATCATTTTTCATATTGTGGTCTGGCAAGGACATGGGTATGATGATCTACTGTTCCCTCCATTAAACACATCCACATGAACCCTTCCAACCATCTAACTGGACGAATGCACTGTTCCCTGGGCTGTCATCATAATCACAAAGTGTGGCAGCTGTTTTGTAACAGTTGTCCCCAAAATATCCACATAATTAGTTTTTAAATACTACGAGAAGAAATTTACCACACAGTTGCTGGATCAGGCTTCATGTTTACAAAACCTAGCCTAAATATCTGAGCGGGCTGATTTAATTCTGAGTAGTTGGTTTCAGACATATGGGTAAACCTCTGCAGTCCGGCTGTGTGAGATTGATATGCTGTAATGAACTGGGTCTGTGATTGGGTAGGCAAAAATTTAGTATCACCTGTGTCACATTGCCTAATAAGCTCTGCAAGCAGACCTATTACATACTTTGTCCACCATAACATCTATAACAGGATAATTACTGACCGACATTAAATTTAGATTCCACTGACTCTAGTTCTCTAGGTGAAACAGGTTGCTTGCTCCGTGGCTCCTGTGTTACTGTCAAAAGTTCGCAACAAAACCCCAGCAGGTAGAACTGGAGTGGAATTCTTGGGTGTACAGACAGAAGACAATGCAGCCCTTAAACCAAAGTGACTATAATAGATAGACATTTCCACAGCAGTTTGTTGCCTACATTTTTCCAGATAGAGCTGGATTGTAGAATAAAGCAACGAAAAAAGAAACCTACTTGTAAGTCCAGGCACCTCCAGCCACTGTCTTCCTGCAGGACCCACAGTGCCAGATACCAACAGCCTGCCTCTTCATCTTGGTCTGTCAATATAAGTTTCACACATTAACAGTTAGAAAACAGTATTTTAACAATTAGTCCACACACAACATCCAAACATTAAGCATGATAACATAAGACACATAAAATAATATGTGGCATCTGCCCAGCGTTCCTTCACATCAGAACGTAAGAGGCACATTGCTTTCTGATAAAGATCATGAGCACAGTCTTGTTGAATCCTAGGGTCATCCTTACCTTGCCACAGAAAGAGCAGGTGTATTTCGCATGCTGGGATATTTCAATTTTCTTCACCATCTTCCTCAGCGACGCGCCATAACGCGTGCCATATTTACCCACGATCCCCACCTTCTTGGTACGCTTGGCCTGTAGACAACAGAAACACACATCAAGATATACAACATGAAACAGGTAGCAGTACCTACTGACATACCGAGTTAATACTGCTCACAACCCACCTAACGTTCCCACAGTGCCGTTGCTACAGGGGTGAATGTAGCAATGCATTTCCAGGATTTCCAAATACCCTACAGAGCCACTTACACAGGTTCAGTGAGGTTCTAAGGTAACATTTTGACGGATCTTTGGAAGCATTCAACATGTTTTATGCCATTAAGCTGCAGCAGCCTTGGAACCAGGGTGAATGAGCTCCTGTCACCAGTGGTGTAACCAGCTAGCATACAAGCTTCCCAAGCTAACGTTAGCCACCTAGCTATGCTAACTTAAACCAATTCAAAAACCCTGGACAAGGTTCAGAGACGACGAACACAACTGGGACAGGAACCATGCCACTTGGATTTACTCTGAGAGCTGTGCTCCAAGCTACGGCACGGTATGTAGCATTTAACGACCTACAGCAGGCTAATAAGACTAGCCCGCCCGGTACTTAGGACTGAGTGAGTACAGGAATGGTGGCAGCCATTTCTGTCTCTGTAATACATGAAAACATCGTTTTTGCTGTTGACAAAATCACTAACTAACACAAATAACGCTCAGCACTGATAAACAAGGACCCCACAACGTTTCGGAATATGTGATTATATCATTTGTACCACAGAAAACGTTAGATTGAAACGGATTAGGAAGGGGACACTCTGGGCTCACCATCGTTTCAGTGGAGACGTAGGTCCAAAGAGGGATTGCTTAGCGCGCAGGCGCGATTTACTTGGTCGTTCACGCTGCATTGTGGGACATTGAGTTTTCACAGAACGCAGACGCCACAACATAATAAGAAAACTACTCTCATAAATTGTTTAAAACGGTAAGTAAATTTGCAATGTAGTAGTGTCGCATATTTTTAACAAAACAAAACAAAAATATTAACGTACGCAATAAATGACTGTAACTAAGGACGCTTCATTGATACGCGCATGCGTATTCCTGAGGTGGACAACAACGTCCCTACTGCTGAGTTGAAATGTTTGTCCACTTAGCTTGTCATAATGCGGTCTTTGTTGTTTGTGAACATATAGTGCATTAAAAGTATTCGTTCTTGACAGCTAAGTTGCTTATATTATGAAGCTAACACGGAAACTGGTTCTCGGTAAGGCGAAGGCCTCCGACTTGGAAAGCGTGAAGAAATTGAACTGCTGGTAAGTGTTTACATTTTAGCAGATGTGTAATTTTGTTGGTTTTAGTTTACATGCGGATGGTCGATGTTGACAGGAACAGCTTGTTTTGCACATCTCGTATTTGTGGTAACGTTACGTAGCATTTCATTTGTTTTGCAGGGGATGCAGTCTGACGGATGTGAGTAGTCATCAGTTAACTAATGTCATATTTGCTCTCACTGAATTCACTGTACATGCGCAAATGAATTGTACACCCTTTTTAATATTATTTAAATTGTATGCATGCATATATGCGGTACTTAAAATGTTCCCTTTTTCCAGATTTCTATCTTCTCTCAAATGGCCAACATTGAGGTGCTGACGCTTAGGTTGGTCTATGGAACTCTTTGCTGTCTCTCCCTCTGACACAGAGCTGTCACTGTTAACACTGACATGATACAGTTACACTTGCTCCCAGTCATTTTATATGATCACTGAATCCTGGCTGTGATGGTCTTCCTTTTCTCTCTCTATAGTGTCAATAGCATCTCATCTCTCTCTCCTCTGGCTGGCTGTCTGTCTCTTTGTGAGCTCTACCTAAGGAGGAACAAGATCCCCTCTCTCTCTGAGCTCTCTCATCTGCGTCCACTGACGCGTCTCCGAGTGCTCTGGTTGGCTGAGAATCCATGTTGTGGAACCAACTCCAGCCAGTATCGCCTCACTGTACTGCGCTGCTTGCCTCGCCTCCAGAAGCTCGACAACCAAGGTGAGTGTGCAGTGTTTTTGTGACTGTATTAGAAGTGATTTACACCCACAATTGTAACAAGCGCATTGAAATGGTCGTGCTGGACTGGAGCAAAACTCTGCACCTGTAATAAATCTTGTGGGCATGTTTTTTCCATGTGTGTCTGCAGTAGTGACAGAGGATGAGATTGCACTTGCTCTTGCAGAGGGTGAAGTGGTCACCACCCCTCCTAGCAGTGTCCAAAACCAGCTGTCCACTAATGGACTTCCAGATGCAGAGACAGAGAATGACCCGCTTAACTACAACATGGAGGAGACCAAGTAAGAGGATTGACACAATCATTTAGTAGAGCATGCAGTGACTGAAAACAATCTGTCAAATTAATGTAAACATATTAAGAACAAAACATTTTCTCTTGATTTGTTATTAGCAAAATCAGGGAAGAGTTGGGGATGAAGCTCCTCTCCAGAGACAAGTTCACCTCGCTTTCTTCCCCTTCAACCAGAGAAAACAAACCATCAATGAAAAAGGTACCCAATTATCTCTGAACGCTCCCCTAAAACTGAATGTTGGAATATACTGAAAATTTATATTCATATCTGGCAATAAATGATAAGTTGTATTTTCAGACGCACACTCTGGATGCAGTTCTGCTGCTGCTGAGGGATTTGGATGAAGAGGAGCTTCACGTTGTACACACAGCTGCCCAAAACAGACTCCAGACTTTCACTCTGGAATCAGAAACGCTGAACAATTCACTGCAGACGCAGAAAACTGCAGACATCCAACACTGAAACGTTTCATAGCATGCGCTCAGGGCCAAACCTCTTACTCCCCCTTCCACGTTTAACCCAAACCTCCATTCTTGGAGATCTGAAACAGGATCCTGATTAGCTTCTGATTGCAGTATGCATGATGGAATTTCACTGACCGCTTTCCCTTTTGTCTCAGTTTTCACATGTGGAGCAGAGATGAAACATTTCCACAGCTTTCTTTTTTTTTTTGTATCACTAAACAGCATGCCTACCTGCCTTGTAAGAACAAAAGAATGTCTGTTTTGCTAAATGTAAATCTATTTCTGTAATTAAAGAGATGCCATTGCAATACAATAACTTTGAAGTGTTGATTTTAATTACACAGATGTGAGCTGAAAACACGTATACACCAAAACACAATGGGGGGCATTTACAGTCAATGTCAAAACATTTCACCAATATTTAGATTGAAACCATTTATTAAACTGTGCAGAGCCTGTGAGAAGGGCTCATAGTTATGCTGATCATGTATAACTGGGCCTTTATATCAGTGGCTGATTCAACCCAAGTATCTACTTTCTGATCAAGTCAGTAAATGAGCTGCGTTTTAAATATAAAGCCTTCCCCACTCAGTCACCCTCCTCGTTCTCCAGGAAATCCGTCAATGTGTTGGCGTCCACAGCAACGGTCAAGCACTCCACTCCATCTGCGCCCTGGAGAATCACGGGAATAAATGTAAGTGAGACACAGGAGTTTAAAAGGCACTGAATGAGAGCTGGGAATTCTAAAGTGAAACAGGAGTTCACCTTGCGTGTGCGTATCAGTTTGTGGTCTCTGAACTCCGTCAGCTGAGTCCTCAGTGTGAGGTCAGAGTTCACCAAGAACGCCTCCCGACAACGCTGGTAGAACTCTTGGAACGACAAACCTGCACACAGTGATGGAAAACGTTACAGTCATAAATCAATACGGTCACATTTTAGGGATCCATTTGTATAGTATTTTGTATGTGTGCACCTGTGTATGAAGGATTATCTTTGTTTTCCAGCTGAAACTTCACCAGCAGTTTGAAAATTCCTCTGCAAAAAGAAAGCACAAAGCCATATAGAACTCACGCAGTTAAATTGATCTAACAGTTCATTATATAAAGGTGTGTGCGGGTCGTACCTTGCATTAGGTGTCAAGCTGCGTAGCACGTGTGTAAGGGAAGACAGAGCGAGAGCGCCAGTCTGCTGCACCAGGAGAGAGTTTTCATACGACGTCTCCTCTGTGTAGTGCTGAAACGTCACACACTCCCACCACAGCCAGTTAAACTGGCTCTGCTGAAACTGGTCCCACACTGAGTCACACACGGGAAAGATTCAGCTACAAGGATGCATTTAATTTTGATTAACACAGCAGTAAACACACTTATAAAACACTCACCTAGTGGAGCGTTTATGTGGTCTAAAGAAGCCACCAAGTGCAGGTTGGGCAGGGATGCCAGCTGCCCCAGTGAACTCTGGGTCTTCTCTCCTCGCAGCATTGGTCCATCGATATTATGGATCAGCAGGTACACATGGAGATCTGGGCCTGCGAGGACATGATTCAATTGTAAAACACAGAATTCAAACCCAAGCTTGAGACAACTGACGTACACACTCACTGTCTTTAAGGGTCTGAGTGATATACTGGATCTGGTCTGAGGGTGTCCGAAAACTCCCCTGGTGCTCTAGAACCTCACATGTCAGAGCATTTAAGATCTGCAATGAAAGCACAAAGAAAATCTACCTATCAATATTGCTCAAGCATTTCTCTTTTACACCACTTCCTGACCCAACTCCAAGCCCACTGGTTCCTATGAGACTCGAGCCATAAGCTACATAAAGCCAAATAATGTGCTAGCTGGACACCAGTTTCTGGAATATGTTAATCAAACGGGGGAAATCATGCATTTGTTAGGGACTATATTCAGTAACAGATCAATGCATGCTGTAGTGAGTATTTTCTGTATTTGGCATTTTCTAAAAATAAAACAGAGCCTGTGTTCATCGTAATAAAGGGAAAGTGTCACCCAATGCAACAGTGTGGCTCATGCTGTCGTTGTGGTGTTAGCTATAGTAGCAGGGGAGTTGTGAGTATCGCTGTCTGGAGCTGGTGTGCTGCCTCTGGGACCACCTCGTCCTCTCACTGTAGTGACCGTTTACTAACCCACAACTTAGCTAAAGTTAGTTACGTTACTTGCTGATATAGGCTGTAGCAATTAAGCATTTTTATTTTGAAGAGATTTATTTGTGTATACTGACTGATTTAAGAGTTATAGAAGGGAAGAATCCATTGACCACAAGGTGGATTTCTTGAGCCAAGTGAGACATACGGAAGTCCTCCAGCAGAGATTTTTTGCTGCCCAAACCGTAGACCAGCACACTGAATCCCAACCTACACAAACAAACACAGAGACGCTTCAGTCTTGTACCAAATTTCAAATATGACACAGACATACACAAAAAAGCATGGAATAAAGAATGCGCAAATCATACTCACTGTAATTGTAACATCCATTTACTAAAGTGCTTTCTGTGTTTGTTGTGGAGCTGCTGGATCTCCTTTGAGTAGCAGGACGGCTTTCCTTCTAAAAGCTGGACCAACGTCTCCTGCAAACACAAAATAAGGATGCACTTCAATAACGCAGAAACTCAATGAACACATTTACAACACTTTCTGTTAGAGACTAACCCTGTCAAGTTTGGGGATGTGTAAACGCTCCAGGGTTCGGTCTGATGTCAACACTTTTGAACTGCCATGGGCTTCAAAATACTCCTCAACCATACTGGGCTGATTGAGGGGTTCAGAGGTGCTCTTGCTCTTCTTGGCGGGAGTCTTGTAGAGAGCTGCAGATAAACCTTTACTGGGCGTTCTTGGAGTCTTCGTGTTTTCCTTGTCTTCTTTCTTTACTTTCTGCTCCTCTACCCCATCTTCATCCTCCTCCTCCCCAGAGTCAGAGGGCGACAGCTCACTATCGCTGTCTGACCGCATGCTCGGAGCTGAAAGTATCCAACAGCTTTATATATGGTAGCTACTGCAACAACAAGAGAATCTAGTTTTTACTGTAACATGTCAAACTCACTTGTCATTCTCTTCCTGAGCCTGTGGGGTGTTGTGGAGACAAACTCAACCTTCTTCTTCTGTCATACAAAAAGCAGAGGTTACACTGAGAAAACTCATACTTAACCACAGCTTAAAGAAAAATGGCAATATCATAAAAAGGTTCCTGAAGTGTATATGAGGAGTCAAACAAACAAATTCTTTCTAGTCTCACCCTCTGTGGTGTCCTGCTTTCACCCTTGTGGTCTAGTTAAGGAGAGGCAGAGAGAAAGAATAAACTTAGTTGTATGTAAATAGGAGGAGGATAGGATGGACACAAAAACAAGTGTTGAACTCACTGCGGCCTGTTCGGGTGGGAGTGGAGGGTTCAGTGTTGTGGGTCGTGCTGAAGGTCACGCTTTTCCCAGGAGTCCGAGCCAACTCGCTTGCTAAACAAAACACAAAAACAAAGTGTGCGATATCCTGAAAATCAACCACCTGATCTATGCATCTGATGATGTCCCACAATCAGAGAGCATTTGTGTATGTGTGAGAGAACAGAGGCTCTCACCAGCCTGGGCCATGCTGTGTCCACGCTTAACTTTCTGAAAGGAGAAAATGGAGGATCCAGCCACTCTGGACACACCCTCCTCATCTTCTGTGAAACCACAAAAAAACAATGATCATTTTTATATGATGAGCAGCACTAACATGATGGCCTCATGCTTATTTAGACTGTATCCGCAGATATTGTAGCTGGTGTTTTGATTATAGCCCCAAACCAAATATGATACTTTTTTTTTTAACATACTTAAATACACTCAAGTCTACTCTCACTGATATAAATGCCTATGGGGTGAACATAATACCCCATTAGAAGCACCTTTCTGTGTTTTATTACTAAATATAATATCTTTCACAATGCCTGTATAATGTCTAATGTAGTACATATTCTCACTGACAGACTCTGTGACCTTATTCCGATTCACTTTGCATACATTACTAGGACCGTAAAGTTAAATATAAGAGTTTTAGTGTGGTTTGCAGAGGTCTACAGGTATGAAATGAAACTGATTATACTATAAAAATGTCTTTGTCTTGTGTCAGCTTTTAAAAAGAGCTTAAGACAGCAGTTACGACTCAAATATGTTCAAGCTTGACTTCCCTAAAAGGCTTAGGACTCAACTAGATTTTAAATTTGTCTTTTCATTCTGAAATCCATTTATTGTATTTTACCTATTTAACCAATGCAAGACTGATGTAATAAATTTCTTGGGTTGGTTAGGATTAGGATTGTTTCACTCTTAGGGTTTTCTGTATGTAGGTTAGAAATGAGACTGTAGTTTGCATGTGCTTAATTTATACGTAGTGTTTATCTAGACAATATAGTTAGTACTTCAAATACATGTCTATTTGCTTAGTGTTGGGCCCCTTTATATAAGGTTCAGATATCTTCCCAGGGTGTCTCTTTTCACAACTCTGCATAATTTCTTATGATCATACTAGTATTTTGTTTTGTGAATAAACTAAATTGAACTAAAATGCAAAACAAATCAACAGCAACACAAACAGCAGCCTCGAAAATGATAAAGTTGATAAAGTTGAATCAACACCTCTATAAAACAGTTTCAATAAAAACATGAACTTTATAACTTTCATGAAGACATGATTTACTGCACAGCGGTTGTATTAGACTGCATTAGATTTTAGCTAAATGTACCTAATAAACTGACAACAGCTTGGTATGGTTTTGCATCATTTAGCAGCAGGTTGAACAAAACACAAAGACAGCTGCAAATAAACCCAGCTGGTAGATTGGTTTACTACCCGAAATACTTGGCAAAAAGTGACAGATATCTCACTCACCTTCTGTGTTGTCTGTCCCTAGAGCTAAGACATAGTTCTGCTCATCAAGGAGTCCATTTTCATCCCCATCAGGTGCTGCATCCTCTTTGGCCCGTCGTCCAGCTGGGCTCTTAAACGTTACCATCTTCTGAACAGACCCGCTGTTGCTCTGCACACCTTTATAGTTACACACAGGCAGTTAGTTAACCACCTGCTCCTAAACAAACATATCTAAACAGGAGAAGTAAAGTGGCTCTGATGTCCATACCCTCCTGTTTGTCCACGATGTGCTCCAGAACATCTCCATCACCAATGAACTTCACCTCCAGCACACTCATGACTGAAGGGGAATACAACAGCATGACAGTAACGTTAGCTAACTAAAAGCTAACTGTACAGACTTAGCTTCTCCAGGTTGTATGCTTTACTGCTAACCTTTACTTTAGTCTGGCTCTATCAGTCATGATAACATCATTAAACTGAGTTACGTTAGCTGACAGGGCAGTGTGGTGTAACTTTAAGTCTCCCTGTGGACAGTCAGCAGCGGCCAATGTCTAAAAGAGAAGTGGAACAGAAACAAAATGTCTCCAAACTACGGTAACTTACCAGATAATGTTTAGTATCGCCCGAAGAAAATGTAAACAAAACTTTCATAACCGGAGCGCTACACAGTGCGTCGTGACAACTTTCCGCGCCATCCTCCTGAAGTTTTTAAACCACGTGACAAGTGAAAGGTCATATAGTGGCCAATCAGAACGTTAGCTTCGGGGAAAACCACAGTTCCCAAGATGCACTGTGGTTCGGTGCTACTCGCTTCAAGGTTTGATAAAAATGATATATAACATTTTTATACTTTACTGTTGGAGATAACATGTGGATATATTTGATTACTTATTATCTTTAGGAAACCTTTTTTTTTTAGTGTGCATGAAACTTTATCTACAAATGTGAGACGTAGACAAATTTACATAAAGAGAGAAAAATAAGTGAAATTGAGAACAGCAGTTTTATTTATTCAAACTTAACCACCACTAGTGTTCAAGACAGTGGTAGTGACGGCACAGTAGTCCATAAAAGTATAATGAAGGATCATTTTTAACATTGGCATGAAGAATGCCTTCTACTTCATCAGACTCATGATCATTACTCCCTGATTGTACGTTCGTCTCGCAGTTACCAGAACCTGTTGATCTGCACTACACACTGTGTGCAAAGCTTTTTACTCTTTTTCACGATTATAACATACATGCCAAAACCACATACACTTCTGCATCATCATTCATTTGTGTTTAACCATAAACCTTATATAGATAACTAGTTAACTGTAGCATCATACTCATTTGATTGTTTGCAGCCTCCAGTGACCGGCGGCCCACATACTGGCAGCAACCTACTGGCATTTGTTGCTGCTACCTTGGTCTTAGTATGTTGACTCAATTCAATTCACATACTGACGTTTTTCAAAACACTGCATGATATTAATTAAATGATGACACAATGCAGTCCTAAAGCTTTCATTTATTTAATAATGTAAAAGCATACAAGTATTTTCTCTATATTTATTTTCCTATGTTGCTTCAGATAAAACATTTATGAAAAATACTTGTGTTATTTAATCAGTAGTTTAGGAATACTTCCACACTTATATTTGTGAGTATTCAGTCACACTTTAACATCAACTACATGAGAAGTCATTTTTCCAGTGTTCATTTAGCTATTGTAACAAGGTCATGTATGATGAGTGAACGGGTGGACAGCTGTTCACCACCCGCGTGTTGGTGTCCACTTCCCCAGCAGACGGCCCTCAGAGTGCACATGGTACACGGGGTGCATCATCGCAGTTGCACACGACTGGGAAAACAAACAGAGAGAGGGTCAAACAAGGAGACTGACACAAGCTGACACTAAGCGTCACTCCAGTGAACAGTACTAACATGGTGGGGGATTAGTGTGAGCAGAGAGCCCAGAGGGTATTTGTTGTAGTCCAGCGGTCCTGAGATGGGCTCCACTCTGCCGTGTTCCTGTGTCATAGACAACAATCTGGAGGGAAATATCTTTCATCAGAACTTAATTTACACTTAAGTTTAGTATTGAAACTGAAAACAAAAGTAAATAGCATTACTTGAGGTTCGGGTGACCTTCAATCATAGCATATCCTGTGGGAAGTTTTCCAGCTCCGTCTAGACTGAGAGTAGTTAGCAAAAACAGGGTTTAAAGTAAATGTAAAATCGTATATCAATTGAGAGGATTACATTAAAATAACTAATTATTGTGTCAGGTTAAAATGGTAAACAGGCAAAGTCAATTTTGCTAATATAAAACAGGGTAAACAATACGGGTGAAGGTACCTGAGTCCACCCCATCCACAGTCAATCAGGAGCTGGTTCCTGTGAGGACAGTGTCCGATGACTCTCGTCAAAACCTTCACAGCCACATCCTCCAGACAGCACGAGCCAATCACAGACTGCTGCACGTCTAAAAGACAGCAAGAAAATACATTAACATCATCATTTCCATACGCTAATTTCAATTGGAAAACAGTATACGCAGTGCGGCACTCTAATGCAACTACATCACACACCATAGAAGACATAGTTTCCAGGATGCACCTCGCTGAGCTGCGCCATGTCTTTGACCGGGTGGCTACAGGAAGGGGTGGAGCCAATGCTGGACTTACAGGTGATGCCAGCAGCCTTCAGTCTGCCCCAAAACAAACCCAGAATGTACAGAAAGATTCTATCAAGACAGCATTTCATAAGACATAAATCTAATAGTTTATTTACTTGTTGAGGTCTTATAATGTGACAATACTGTGCATTCACTGAATTTAAGTGCAACAAGCTGAAAACACTGACAGAGTATTACTTTAAAAAGTTAATATGACGAACGTGTTTGCCTCTTGACACATGCAGCAACATTAGCATTCATGAAGTTGTGTTTGTGTTCATTAAATTAACATTCACTCTCCTTTTAGCTCTAGTTTGGTCTCCACCAATGGCCAGAGAAAAAATATCTGGCTCTTGAGCTGCTAAATGGGTTCATGCGTTCACCAGCTAGTTGCTAACTGTCTGTCTGCTGTTTGGCGCGTAGTGTGTGTTTATCAGAGCTTTTTCATAAAACCTGCTGCTTCTGGAAATGAGGCTGTTGAGACTGAATCAAAACAGTAAATTTGCAGCTGGAAAACAAAAACACTGAGCCAAAAGATGCTAAAACGCTCCATAGAGCCGAGGGGAACTGCAGAGTCGGCCAAGTTTATTACTGCGAGCGACGCCTTTCACATTATATGTAGTCACATACATCGTATATAAAAATACTGATTTGAGCAGCTGAGATAATTTTTTATGTATTTAACGATTCTATGTACCGGGTAACATATGACATGATTGGCCTCTAGCTGCATTTGTCTTTTTTTCACTTTCACATACTTTTCCATGAACTGCAGAGTCAAACTGGTGGTTTCCTGGGCCACAGCCTGTATTTGCTCCACTCCTCTGCAGTTGTAGGTGTTCCCACAGTGAGCGTACACGCCTATTAGCTCCACGCCATCCGTCTCGACAATAGCCTGAGCCAATCTGAGCGCCTCAGGTTCTGAGTGCAGGATACCAGCTATGGTAAAGAACAAACAGAAGATTAGCAGGTGCTCGACCCCTATGGCTCAGCACCCAATGATGTGTCCTGCTTTCCCTGTGCATTTACCTCTCCCGTTACCACAGTCAAGTTTCAGCCAGACGTGCCACAGCCGACCGTCTCTCAGTGGTCTCTTTATGAGCTCCTCCAGAGCATGAGGATGATCCAATAAAACTTGAAAGAGATCCAGCCTCTCTGACAGCGCTGCACAGCGCTCCACCTATGAGCACACAACACACACACACACACACACACGTTAGTGCAACTGGTATTTGCAGTATGGTTGGGAGATACGACCTAATATGAACCTGACACTGTCACTGATAATCATTTCATTCAGTCATTCAGTAATTGATTTGCTGGTAACAGATTTTTAGATTTTCTTGATTTTAGTACAGTAAGTAAACCATTTTTCATGGCTGGCATTTTTACTTGTCACAGCAGGAGAAGCAAAGGTGTAATCAACATTAACGATGTTGCATTCCATGCCATGGTGTTTACAAACAACAGAGCTGTCATTAATTAGTTCAATTAACTAGTTGCACCTTTACTATGGTGAGTAATGTCTGCGGTGAACTATTTCCCATCCATAGCCTACAGATTACATGCTTCCAATATCTTTAACCGCTTATCTTTTGCATGGTCATGGGATCTAGCATACAATATGTAGCCTACTATATACTAATGCAAACTGTGACTTTAGAATTCACAAAAACAAAGCCAAATGTTATTTCATACTTGTGTTTTTAAGATATTCATGGAGCTGTTTCATCACAAACTGCGAGTTATTTTAATGATATGCAACTGTGAGCAGCTCCTTCATTACGTTTGCATACTAGACTGAAACTGAAGACGCTAAATGGAATTTATGCAATCAAAGAGTGCATATAAAGAATGAGCCTTATAAAGTGGGTGAATTGAGAGAACCTTATCAAAGGGAAGTGAGTATGCATATAGGATGTCATCGAAGCCGTAATCGGCATAGAAACAGGCCTCTGCCAGTGTGGAAACCACGATGCACCTCCGTGATCCTCCCGTCATGATGTCAGCACACTCACTAGACATGAACATGAATACACAGACCATATCAGTCTCCCTTATATAACTGGCCTGCATGAGTTAGTGTGTGTGTGTGCATTTATACATGGTTTTGTGGGTCTTCATGTGTGGCCGAAGCTGGACCCCCAACTTCTGACAGCGTTCAATCATCCTCTGGGCATTTATCTTCACTTTGTCCAAATCCACCACCAGAGCTGGGGTACACAGGGTAGAGATGGCCTCTCCCTCCATACTGGCAGCACTAGAACCAACAGGCACACACCAGATACTTCTCATGCAATTAAATTATTGTGCATGACTGGCTCCAACTCACATACTAGTCCAACTGTGACACCATTCTTATGATAACTAACAGTACTTGGAAATAGGTGCATGATGTGCTATAGGCCTAATTTATATATAAGACACCATTATATGACTTTCAACCCTCCAGTTCTGTGTAGGTACACAATGCCTGGGGTTGTGTAATGTAGAGACCTTTGAACTATACACCAGTGTATTCTTTGTTTAAATAACTACTTTTCCAGTGAATACATAACAACCTTAAATAAAGCAATGAATTAATCAACCTAAAATACCCAAATAACCCGCCGTTTGAAATTACTATTTAACCAAACAAACGTGTTCACAAATAGACAACGTTTTAAATTATGTGTTGTTGTTTTTAGCAATACCCTTAATAAATTCTTCAAAACATCTCAGCGAACATTAATAGTAGGCTATGCATGGCGCCAGTAGGCTATTTATCATTATACAGGACTTACCGTTTAGCAGCTGATTCTGATTCTCCCCGGCATTGCGGGATAATGTGGTCACGTTCCTCTTACGGTGTCCTTGAGTGTTCAAACCTCTTCACCGGAAACGGCCATTCACTGTTGTAAAGCAGTGACTGGATGAAGTACTCAGATATTTTACTTAAGTGGAAGTAGCAATACCACAACAATACACGCCTGTATAAGCAACAGACAAAAAAAATGCAAATAAATGACCTAAAATAATATCATTCTGCTTACTGTAAATGCTTTGCCTATAATGGATCCATGAACCTTATAAGGCTCAAATATTTTTAGGTCGCAAATTAAACATTCTCACTAATATTCGTGATTTTATGTAAAACTTAACTATTAGCATCACAATATAGCCTACTTAACTTTTTGTACTTAATACCCAGAGTCTGCAAAGTAACTAAAAAGCTGTCAAAAAATGAAAATTTAATGGAGTGAAAAGTACAATATTTGCCTCCAAAATGTAATGGTGTTCATGTAATGGATTAGTTTAAATCAAAACACTGTTGCTGCCTTGTATTTCTCTGTACAGCAGACGGAGCCAGATTCATAAACACCCATTTGTACAATTGATGACATGGAGCTAGGAGAGATTTTCTTTTACAAGATTAAAACAGCATTGCAGAAGGGGGAGATATGCTCGTGCTACCTACGTTTTCTATACTTCTTGTCTTGTCAGTGATTGAATGACAAATTGCACATGGATCAAAAACATTAACACACATTTAAATATCTTGCAAACACAAAAGACAGTGTTGGGGTCACCACATTAGGCTTTATTTGGACTGTTAGAATGTTTACAGATTTAGTTTTTTTATGCCTGTCAATGTATATGTAATTAACTGTGTGTGTGTGTGTGTGTGTGTGTGTGTGTGTGTGTGTGTGTGTGTGATTCTTGTGTGGTTGAGTGTGGGGCATTTATGTGTGATTCTTTTGCTCTGGAAAAGATATGTCTGCTTGTATTTATCCCCTGAACACAGTAATTACAGCATAACATGATGTAAAAAACTTCTCCCAAACCACTCAGATGGCTTTGTCCTTTATTTCTACTTTAGCACCTTTAATGTAAATACTGACTTTGTGAAGACAGAGAGAGATAGAGAGAGAGAGACTGAAAATCAATAGAAAATAAAACAAAATAAAACCTACAATTTCTTTCGTAAATATTCAATAATCATACACCTCTCCTCTTGGACACTTATGGGTGTCTTTGGTTTGAATGAGAACTACTAGATCAATCAAATTACAAATGATATTGTTTGTGTATTTATGTATATGTGTTTGTGTCAGCTGGTCCTACATGGATTGCTTTGGCTTTTGTAAAGGAATCTTCACCCTTAACAACCGGATATGTAGCCGTTTCAGTGCCTTATAGATCCAGTAATGATAATGACCACAGAGGTTTGATGATGCCTCTGTGTGTGTGTTTATGTGTACACTGAAGGCCCTTCTTTCATTCTGTGGATTCTAATTCTATGGTGTAGAGCGTTAAAGTTCCTCACTAGCATATCCAGCGGACAAAACGCTCAAAGAATGAGGGTTTGTTCAACATGGCGTAGTCATCTCCTCTAAAGATGGCAGACGAGTCCCCTAGCGACACCTTCTGCAGCACCTCCTCATCTGTGTCTTTTCCCAGGGCAATCACTGTTGGAACGCCTTCTGCTCGCCTCATGGCAGACACGCCCTCTTCTAGCTGCTCGCTGGCTGTGATGCCATCAGTGATGAATACAAAGGTCAGCTCAGCGGTGGCACGAGCCTTTTTATCCTGCTACAAACACAACATGCAATGTTACACTTTTTTGCTCTCTTACCATCAGTTAGATGAGAGGATTGATACCTCACTCATATCTGTGTGTTGAAATGGAGATTGAGCCAGATGGCAATTAGCTTAGCTTAGCATTAAGGCAGGAGGCAGGATAAAAAAATACCTAAATATTAAAATCACAAATTGACACTGTTATTTCTGTTTGTGTACAGATAAAACAAATGAGTTGATTAAAGGCGTATTTCTGAGAACCAGGCTATTTGTTTTCCCTGCTTCCAATCTTTATGATAAACAAAGCTCCTGGCTTCAGCTCCATACTTAAAGAAATAGTTCGACATTTTGGGATATACGCTTATTTTCTTTCTTGTCGATAGTTATGTAGATGAGAAGATTGATACAACTGGGCTAGCTTAAACAGCTAGCTTGACTCTGTCCAAAGGTAAAACTTCCACCAACTCATTAATTAACATGTTATATATCTCATTTGTTTAATCTGCATGAAAACAAAGTATATAATGTTGTGGTTTTTCGTGGTGGGTCATATGCTGGCCTAAATCTTGGTTGGTAGCTTTGAAGTCACTGCATCTGGTCCCACACATAACCCCTGTTTAAAAACCACAACATATTGATTTTACACTTCAGTTTTTGTACAAATTAAACAAACAAGAAACATGAAAGTGAGCATTTGAGTTGCTGGTAAATAGATTGTGTCACTCTTGATGCAAAGCGAAGCTTATTTTTCTGCTGGCTGTAGCTTAATTTTTTACAGTACAGACATTCAGTCGATCTTCTCATCTTATCAAGAAATCAAATTTCCAAAAATGTTGAATTATTCCTATACATATTTCTGTTCCTTCCTACAAATCAAAAACAGGTGTATGTGTTTGTTACCTTTGGAATCACCAGATTGTTGACAGCATGGATGATGGCGCTGCCCAGAGCAGAAGAGGAATCCATATAGGACATAGATGCCAGCGAATCCGAGATCACTGTGAGATTGTGTGTGAGAGGGAACTCCACCTTCTGTTCTGTAGTGCTGCCATACTGCAGCAGAGCCAAGCGGGCATTCTTCTTGTCTGAATCGTTGTTTGCCAGGGTGAGGCGGCGAGCCACATTCTCAATGAACTCTTTGGCCCTGCGGTGGTTCTCCAGTCCCATCCTCTCAGAACCATCCAACAGGAACACCACATCCACTGGTCGCTGAACACAGCTAGCCACAGCAGGCTCTGGAACAGACACACACATACATAAAGTTGGTTAAACATGGTGTTCAGCAAGTTACAGCTGGTACACAGATGCTCAGAGGTCAAAGCCAAAAAAATATATACAGTAACACTGTGTGCTTCAATGCATGCTAGTTGCAATCCAATACAGCTGTCTGTCTTTAGTTTGCGCTAGAGTTTTATTATCTTGAGACATCATAAAAACATGAATACATTTTATACAAAACAACATAGTTCACATCAGCAAGTTGCAGTCAGATGCTAACATTTGGTTAAAACTGCTCCTCTTCCTCTAGTCACCCTACTTAACAAGCCAAGCCACATGCAAAAACATGCACCAATCAAGGGCGTTACATACACTAGTTCTTTCAAGTCAATTGACCAAACATCCACATATACCAACGTCTGACTCATATACAGTATACTGTGACATGTATAAAACCAGATATTTTCCACATGTAATGGCCTTTTCACCAACATGAGTCATTCACAGAGTACAAGAAAAAAAAGAACAGGCCGTAACCATGGATATGTGCAAAACAGCAAAAGAAACGTCATCAGAGTGATTTAGCGAGCTTGTGATTCACAGTGGAAATGAGGCCTCATCAAAGAGCCACTGTACACCAAACAGGAGCAACACGAATGGCTCTACAGACCAATCTGCCTCCAACAAATGGATGACATTTGCTTTCCATGTGAATGGAAAACATCCCTCCACTAACGTGGAAATGATATGTATCATAATGTCTAACAGACATACTTTTCTGAGAAATAGCTCCATGTACATTAATTCAGAAATATTCTACGAAGAGAGAGAGCATCCTGAATCCACATTTTGAATTTTGACCCATCACATATTGTAACCATACATAAGGCTGCACTGAACTGATAGCACAGGACCAGCTTGATATCATGCGATTCTTTTGCATTAGCCCAGGTGTATATTGCACCGGTAGAGTAAAAAATGCCCACAGTTTTAATGAAATCTGTTCTAATTCCAGCAGTAAGCTCATTAGTTATTGGCGTCCATAATGGCGAGGTAGCATGGTTAGCATATTAGCATTAGCAGAGTCCTAAGGCCTTCTCTGGGTCTCCCAGAATGTCTCCATAGACATATTTGAAGGAGTTGATGAATAGCTGGGTCCATTGCTGCCTGTCCGCTCCCTGGGCGAGTTTGGCTCTCTGGGCTGTGTACGCCATGGTTGCAACGCCAACTCCATACTGCTGCTCACTCAGGCCGTTCAGCAGGCTGGCCACACCCTCCAAAGAGGTGGGGACCAATGAGTGGCTGCCTTCCTCAGCCAGTGGCTTCCAGGGGGGAGGGGCTTGCCCCGCAGTTACGCCCCCTCCTGAAACAAGTGGGCGGAATAACATTGTGGGCAGGGCCCCCAGAAACGACGCATGAACACAGCCAACAAAAATGCCGGAGGTACACAAAGTTGCACTAAATTGCAACATGGGCTCATGTGTTGGGTTTACAGGCATATTAAATAATTGCACCATAGCTAAGTAAGTAAAATGATGCAACTGTAAAAAAGTATGTTTTACCTCAGTTTAAGCCACAACGCGTTTAATCCTTAACATAGCTTAAAGGCGTCATTATGCTTCAAACAAACTAGTTGGTACGAAGCTTTGCCCGAACATTTCTAAGTGTCAGAGTGTTAATGCCTGTTCTGAATGACCACACTCAAAACCAGTGCAAAAAGCCTGCTGTCATAGAGTCTGGTGCTTTTTTAGATTCTGTTTGAAAATTATACAAGCACTTCCTTTGAAGCATATTGACACCTTAATAATGCTGGTAACCTGGGCCTAACTGCTGAAAAAGCATGTAAAATCTAAAAATAAAAGAGGACACTAAGTGATACATAACATTTTAAAATCTTACCTGATTTACAAGGGAGATCTGGGCATATGATGACAGGATCTATGCAAAGATAAAAAAAATGTCAGAGAAAAAGCTCCACATAGTTCCCTAGATGAACATACTCCCTTAATAAGTGTACCTGGGCAGAGCACGGTTTCAATTTTGTCAATGAACTCCTCAGCTACCAGGTCTGCAAAGCGCCTCATGCCCAGCACCCTGCCATCCTTCTGGCAAGCAATGCTCTTCAGGCTCTCATTCTCCTCGATCTGGTCAAACATGTCTCCGATTCCGATGGCACTCACATCAACACTGGGATCACTGCTCACATGCACAAGTACACACAAATACAAGCAATGAGATAAAATTCTTTTCTCCTCCACATATTCTAAATATCAAAAAATACAGTCCCATTGCTAGGCACCTGCAGAGGTAGGTGAGCAGCGAGTCATCATCTCTGGGGTCGAAGCGTCCGTCAGTGATGACAACTACAGTGACGTTGGCTTTGGCTCTGCGGCTGTCCCTGATCAGGTTGTCGTAGGCATACTTCAAAGCAGATGGAGTCCATGTTCCTCCAGCGATCCACTCCAAACGCTTCACTGCATCCTGTATAGTGGAGAAGACAATGATATAGTACAGTAATAGACAATGTGAGGTACTGAGTGTAGCTTCTATAATTTTTTACAAAGGTCAGACTGCAGCCATTTTGAATATTTGGATTGGTTCTGTACAAAATAGTTATGGCTGTGGACGGTGCCAAAGTAACTTTAGAATATATCTTGTACTATATAATGTGTTTATAAGACTTGAACTCATGAATGGAGGCTTCAGGGAGACCCAGCATTTACCAGATTATGTAGTTAACTATGTTGTTATGAAGTTATTATGTATCTTTGAAATGACAGCTAAACAATAAATATCCTTCTGGAGTATTAGGATCCATCCATTTGGTTTCATAGGGAATCTATAAAAAGATAAATTTGTATACTGTGTCCAGCAGCAAGCTTATAACATAGCATGGTTAGCATATTAGCATTAGCAGAATTCTAGCTTCACAGCTACTGTTATTCTTTCCCCCACCTGTTTTGCGCTGGAAAAAAAAGCAGCTGTATGCTCTTTCAGGTTGTTTGCCATTTTTTTATGTTCAAAATGGCCGCTTCCTATTATGAGTTGGGTCAATATGAACTATCAGCTGTGGGTTAATAACTATTTGGTGCTCTGTGGAGTATTTAAGGCAGTATGCGGAAGTGACTTAATGTGAGTTTTTTGTTTTTTTTGACAACATGGAATACATATATAATCTGCAGCCTTTTTCTTTAATGTGGTTCTACCATCTGTTGCATCCCAGACCATATGCATTTGTATGTCACAAAGATATAGACAGAGGGACATGTACACAAATGCAAGCGTGAAGAGAATCATCTACCTCATATGTGACAACAGTACATCTGATCTAACAGTCCATCAGCCTCGATTAATTAAGAAACATCTGGACAAAAGAACAGTCTGTGCTCACCCTAAAAATACACTTGAAAGTTGCAATGCACATGTGTTTGTGTCTGTCTGTGTGTGAGACCTTGAAAGCAGACATTGAATCAATCTTGGGGTCGTTGAGCCGGATGGCCTGGAAGGTTCCACTGTGACTGTACTGAACAACTCCCACTCTTGTGCCTGGGAACCCATGAGATCGTGTTTACACCAAGTTGGCAGTCATCTTGTAAAGTTGTTTCATTGCACAGACTAGCTGTTAAATAATTAAAGAAGCAAGAGAACATGTGCATCAACAAATACATGTCTACCTGTATCTGACTGGGGGTCTTTGGCAAGGGAACCCAGTCTGTTGATGGTGTTGATGACAAAGTTCTTCTCCAGGGTGAAGTTAGTCAGACCCACTGACTCTGAGCTGTCAATCACAAACACAATGTCCAGGGCTCCGCAGCGTTTCTCACAGTCTGCACACAAAAACACACACTTTGAAAACCTGACAACCTATCAGCGCATGTTAAGATCATAAATGGCAACACTGTGGTAGCTAAACTCACCGCAGCAGCCACACGTTTCCCTGATGTAGTTCATGACATCACATTCCTGCAAGAAGAAACATTATTGTTAATCCATCATAACATCACTGTTTTTCTGTTGATGTGTCAGTGATAAAAGAGTGGTTATATAAAATGTTCTCACAGTGAGGCCGGGATCTCCCTCAGGTCCAGGATCTCCCTGTAGAGGAAGAAAACACATAAAATCACATCGTGCCTCTCAGCTTTTGTCCGGTTTGGGACTGCTGTCAGATAATGCTAATTGGTAGTTGGTAAGTAAACATGAAAACATCAGTTTAGGTTTGTTTTTCCTTGCTGGATGCAAATGGATGTTTACTTCTTCACTATGTCGGTGACTAGGAAAGCACCTGTATGTGGGATTTTCATTGCAGTATACTTACGTCACGTCCAGGGTCTCCTCTTGGTCCTCTTTGGCCAGGTTCCCCTTGAGACCCTGGTTCACCCTGTTGTAAGCAGAAAAAAATTGCAGTGTGTTACTGCACTGTAAAAACACATTTTGCTCATGACAGCATGCATCCAGCTACGTTACTTACTCCCTCTCCCGGAGTTCCTTTATTTCCAGGGTCACCCTTTTGACCACAGTCTCCTCTGCCGCCACGAGGTCCACGGTTGCCCTTATTTCCTCTGTCACCCTGTACAACAGAGTAAAAGTCTTGTCAGCCAAGTGTTTCACTCTGGCTAGCAAATGGTACGGAGACGAATTTCATGTGTACGTTACCGATGGTCCTCTTGGCCCAGGATAACTAAAGCCAGGTCTTCCAGGATCACCCTGAATGGAGACAATAGAAACAGTCAAGACAAAGAACTGCAGCTAGATACCTGAAAACAGTCCAAGGAAGAGGCTTACACACTAACACATACAAAGAGATACATACCTTTGGTCCAGGCTGTCCTGGTTCTCCTCTTGGTCCAGCATCACCAGGGTCTCCTCTGGTACCCTATAATACAAGCATTGTTAATGTAAACTAGATGCACTTTGAATATAGCCTTTGATAGCACTTTTTTATGCCCAAATGTGACCTACATTTTTCCCAGGCTCTCCTGCTGTCCCCGGTGGCCCCCTGGGCCCTGGCAGGCCATTATCTCCCTGTTCAGAGAAGAGAAAGTTGACAGGAGGTGCAACAAAAGGGGGTGGATTAAATAGTTTAAGGGTGTATGGTGTTTATATAAACATATGCAAATTAAAAATAATAATACTCCTCACTTTTGCTCCTTTCTTTCCTTCTTCACCTGGAAGCCCTCTCAAGCCCTCTGGCCCCATTTCACCCTGAAACATAAAATCAGCATTGAGCCCCCTAGTGGTGGAACAACGTATCTCAATGAAAGACACACACATTTCAAAGTTCATAAAACTTGAATGTTTCACACTTGCATGATTGCATACATTAACTCATACCTTTTCTCCCTTAACTCCATCTGGCCCTTGACCACCCTTTTGCCCAGGTTCTCCTCTTCTCCCCTAGAACACAAGAACAGTTAGAGAACCAACAAATCAAAGCCAATGGAGGTGAAGCATGTTGGGGAACATTAGGTAATGGGGGAATAAGGTGTTCTTACCGGCTCGCCTCTGCCTCCTGGAAGTCCTTCGGCTCCCTAAGAAAAGCAACACGCAGGTGAGCTACATGATGCATGAAATGAGTGTGTGTTTAAGTGTATTTCTGTCTGTGGCGACGAAACTTACTTTGTTTCCTTTTTGTCCAGGGAGGCCAGGTGATCCAGAACCTCCCCTCTCTCCCTGTGGAAGAAGCACAGCGTTTAGTCTTTCAACAATCCTCAAACCTAATCTTTGTCCCAGGAAAGAACAGCTATCCCAGTCCCTGTGTTCAGGTTCACCTTTGGTCCAGGCTCTCCAGACAGGCCAGGGGGGCCAGGTCTTCCAGGACGACCGGGATCACCCTGAAGGCAGGACACAAGCCCACACACACAACACACACACACACACACACACACACACACACACACACACACACACACACATACACACACACAATCAGGCAGAGTTTAATCACAGGTTTGAATGGCTGATGGATTTTAAAGACAAGACCATCTACCTTCTCTCCATCGGTTCCAGGGGGACCACGTTCACCGACGTCTCCGGGGTAGCCGTCAGGACCCTACAAAGCATCAAACATGCACCATGAATAGGCCATAACATAACGCAACATGGATGAACTGATCTTTTTAAATGTCATACTCTGTCGCCTGGGTCTCCTTTGCAGCCGGGAGCGCCAATTCGTCCAATTTTACCCTGGGAAAGAGAAGATAAAGGAAAAAATTGTATTACAAAAGAAAAACTACAGCTTCACTTCGAAATCATCGAAAGACATCCACTATTTTATAATACAGTCACTTTCAGTGAGTCAGTAATCATTCTAGAGATCATTTTGTACCCTAACATGTACACCAAAACTTGCTTCTCAAAATTCTGCCTTAAACAGCACCCACCTTCTGTCCATCTGTCCCATTGCGTCCTGGGATGCCAGCCACGCCCTAACGACAAAGAGAAGAGACAATTAGAGTAGATAGACCAACCACTTAATAAAATGAATGATAATTAATAGATCATTTCTAATTTGGTCAGACAAAAAGTCCTACCTTTTTCCCCTGAGTTCCTATCTCTCCCTGTAGGCAGATAGAACAACCATTTTATGTGTGATTATAATCTCAGCAATTTATTGAAATTGTTACTATTTAAGACAGTTTTAAGTCATGCAATGATGAAGTTGAGACACACAAAAGGAAAGTAATGCCTCACCTTTTCGCCTGTTTGCCCTGGCTCTCCCTATAGAGAGAAAAGGGGGGTCATTTATTACAATATAGACACAAATTAAAATCATTTGTCATTCTGTAATTCAGTGAATAATGAATAATGTTGAGGTCGATATTCAGTGTCCTACTTTGGTACCAGGTTGACCAATGGGACCCTCGATACCGGGGTCTCCTGGGCGACCTCTTCCACCTTTCAGACCTGGTTCGCCGTTGTCTCCTTTAGCTCCCTGCAGTCAACGAGTTAAAAGGAGCAAATATCTGAGAGGATGAAAGTGACTAGGGTGCAAAATTCTGTTTCTGTATATGTGTGTGTGCCACTCACTTTTTGTCCTCGGTGGCCTTTTGGACCGGGAGGCCCATCCGTCTCCAGACAGTCCACACTGTAACACTGTGTAGTACAGGAAATTAAGACAAATAGTCAGTATTGGTACAATCTGAACAATTACTTTTGTATAATCTCTCCGATCATAAGTTGAGCGTGCATTCTTACCTCTACAAATGCCAAATGTTGCTGTGAAGACAAAAATAACAAGGTGTGAGCAGAAGAGGCATTGATCATCTTTTATGTTTCTCTGTGGGTGTGTTTGTGTGTTACCATTGTCTTGATGATGCGGTTAATGGTGTCTACTTGTATGATGGCCCTGCCCTGGCTTAGATCCACAGCCATAAAGTCCCTCCTGTAGACCGTCGCAGGAGAGTTGGCGATCTCCCTGAGCCCCGTCTCTTCAATGTTCTTCGATGCCGCCACGACAAACATCCGGATGCCCTCGTCACGAGCTTTCTCTGCTGCCACTTTGATTCCCCCGCACGGTCTTCCGGTCACATGGCCGTCTGTGATGACCACAGCAAATCGGAGGGCCTTGGGGTATGTGGGTGAGCGCAGCATTTCCTGGGTCATGTTGGTGAGGGCGCAGTCGGTGTAGGTACCCTTACCCAGGTAACGGATCCCCCTGAGACCCTGGAAAGAATGTGATTTGTTAATTGGATAACCAATTAGGGAAAGAATGCAACTGCCCAGGGACCCTAGACCCTCAGGAGCCCTGAGGGTATCAGGCTCAATCTGTGTTTTTTAGTTAGTGCTAATTTAACTAATTGCTTATTATAAATTTAAACAATATAAGACTAAAGGTAGATTCTGCATTTTACCTTATCTTCAGCTGCTGCGTCTTAATCAAGTTTTAAAGGAACAGTTTACAGGCAAAGATTTAGCTAAGAAGATCGATACCACTTCTACGTCTGTGGTAAATATGCTTCAGGGTCTTGGCCAATCAGAAGACAGAAGAACGTTTAATAGTACAAAGCTACCACACAGGAGTCACAGAACTACAATATAGGGCTTTAAATGCAATATAATAGGGCTCCTTTAACTGACTGAAATAACAGACATGCAATAAAGGTCCTAATTGAATCAAGATCCTTGCAATTGCACAGTACGCATCTTAAACCACCAAGCCACAATGACTATACATCTTGCAGTTACCTGCAGTTTTTTTGCTCTATAGTACACAAGAAACCAGTTTTAATCTCTTTACGTTGTGGGGACCCAAAGGGAATTTTTGCCCCTGGGCCCCAAAGCAGATTAACACAGCCCTGCAAGACATTGGTGTTAGTGTTAGCTAAAAAAACACCCATGTCATCAGTGATCAGTGGGGCAGCCTTCTTCCATGTGAAACTTCCACTGGGCATGGACCAGAACTTTACACATAATATCTAGGATAAATATCAAATACCTCTAATTCATAACTTGGTTAGGTACATAAAACACCCAAATGAAATCTTAACAAACTATTTAATCTCCAACTTGATGGTTACCTGTTAAATTTTTGTACGCGTGTGTGTGGGTGGACACTCACTGTGATGAAATCGTTCTTTGATGCAAGGCGACTGAACACTTGCTGTGTCTGGGAGAAGTGTAGTCCACCAATCTTCCAGTTGATCCGCACAGCACCTTTTAATTCAGCATCTTCTAATCTCTGTGCAAATTGCTCAGTGAATTCCTACAACAACAAGACACAACACATTATTTAACATTTCTAATAATCACTTCGAAATGATGACACTATAAAACAAGTCTATTCTGAGTTGAGGTATTAAAACTGCAGATAAACAGGGGAACCTTGATGCTCTCCACCAGCGATCCAGGGGGCGGCTCCTGCATGGCAATGGTCTCAGATGTATCTATGGTGAAGTACACATCTATGGGACATTCATGCTTCTCTGGAGGGAAAAGACACACACAACAAAAACACATATAAAACCTCCATGGAAAATTCCTATGCAATCAACTGTTCCATGTTATGTCACCAAAACTGTGTTCACATATTTACACAACATGTTACTGTGGCTGAGAAGCAACAAGGGTTCACTTTTATGGCACTCACTCTGGCACTCTGTTGTCTGTCCGTGAGTGAGGGCTCCAAAAAGAAGACAGAGCACGATGACCTCTAATCCCAGCATCTTTCTCTGCTCCTGTCTGACACATAAAGGCACAAGACACACAACTGAGCCCACAACATCTGTATGTTAATTTCTCACTTCGTCTCTCAAAATCAGTACAGTGAAAATAGAATTTGTGGTAAATCTACAAAACAAAAAATACAGGAAAATCACAGGAATGTAAACACGTAGTGTACGTGCCGATTTTGGACCCTAAATCAAGAAACAAGGAAACTTTTTTGAATAACCAGCATTGTAATAACACTTTTCTGAGATGTAATCAACCTAATAATATATTGATTGATCATCATTCCACATTATATATGATTTTTGTCATGTAGTGTTGGCTGATAATGCTAAAATCTAGATGCACCTGGTATCAGTTAAAGGGAAATGTATGAAGAGCAGTCTACTGATGAGAACAAAATGGCTGCCATAGTTATGTAATAGGTTTGAAAGCATGACATGAGTTGAACATGGCTCTTTTTTCTTGTGTTTGTGTTGGAAATGGAAACAACAGAAGCTAGAAAGAAATGACAAAATTCAACAAAGGCTGATATTTGCCTTTCTGTAGGTATGTAGTATTCATGCCCGGAAGCCGGCCTTAACATGCTGCCACACTACAGCCATCATCAATGGAAGTTCAGTCAGATTCACTAACAGGCTTGACTGAGTGTTTGAAGGACTCACTGTTTGACCAAATAAAACCTGCAAGTCCATGGCTGAAAAATGGAACCAATTATCTTATCTAAACGTAGCACATCACAAACATTTCTTTGGGTGATGACAAACACATGAACAGAATCTGGTTGTATATGACAGTAGAAAGCATGCTGCTGATTGAATATAGCAAGGCTCACATTTCGTTTTAAACCACATCATTTCACAAGGCCTCAGTCTGCCGCCCTGCAGAGGCTTTCTTTTCCCTCACAGTGAACCTGGCTGTCATGGACAGATTAATTCGATAGGGGGCACATTGACCTGTTGGAAATCTGGTGATGGAAATGTAAGTAAGAATACGCACCATGTACATTTTGACAAGGCAGGTAATCATGCAGGGTCTGTTTTAAGGCCCGTCTTATAATAGGTATGCATATTCCAAAACAAATGTGCAATTTTTAAAATGACCATAAACCAAGCAACAAACAGAATCTTATTTTGTGGCTTCAGGGCCCCTGAGGGTTGGGCACCCACTCTGCTTGATTAATAATCCAACCCTACCGGCTGTGCGAGAAGGCAAGGCCTCTGAAATGCAGCGGATTACCCTCACATCCACTAAACACTCAGTCTGACCCTGTTAGCAACATGTCAACAAAGTCAGGTTTAGTGTCTATTCATCCCTCTACATCAACTCCAAACCTTAACAAGTGTCCACCACTTAACCATCTGCCAACTCACGTACACTGCAGCATACTGCATTTTTACACTGTGAAAATCTGCAAGTGGAAAAACAAAAGAAAACCTCTCCTTCTTGAGAAAAACAATTAAAAGAATGTCCAATAATAATAATTATATAGCACACTTCATGCAATGATACAGCTTGAAGTGCTTTACAAAACAAGATCAGAATAAGGATAGGTAAAAAAAAAAAAATCAATATATATTTATAAATAATAAATAGCAAATACGTTAAAAGAAACAAAAAAATAAGCAAAAACCACATTCAAAATAAACAAATAAGGGAAGAGTACTTTTTGGGACATAAAATGAGAGGCAAATCAAATTTTCTGTAATCAAATGTCGTCCTACCAGTGGAACAATTAGCCTTTAAATTATCCTTTTGTTTTCAAAACAAATGAAAACTAATTTAGAGTAGCTAAAATCATCTCACCCATGCTGGCAATAACAAAATACAACAATATTTTAACTTCTTTACAACATTTAAACTGCACACATCAACAGACTATCAGCCACGCGCTTTGCTGTGGCTCCCTCTAGCGGACAGACAGCTGTAAACTGCGGAGGATTCGCCCTTCTCACTCCTCTCACAGTACTGAGTGCGAGTCCTCATAGCTTTTCATCGCTGCAGAGGTAAATATCGCGCAAAAAAATATGCAGCGATAACAGCATGACTGTTAGAGCCCGTGCTCTATTTAGGGTTATTTCTTGGGCAACTATTGTGTGGATTTTGAAGGGTTCATTGCTTGTTCGTGCAACAGTTTGGTGTAGCTAAGAAAAAGATCATTTCTGTTGATGAGAGTAAGTTTTAAGACATGCAAAGAGATAGAGAGCGAGAGCGGGTGAGCGCGTGAGAGACAGAGACACACAAGGGGAAAGAGGGAGATAGAGAGAGGGAATGAGAGACTGGCACATTGTTGTGCGTAAAAGTGCAGCTTACCCAAACTCTTTCCAACAACTTCAAAACTTCGTGAGCAGCTGATCCTCTGTTGATTATCTCCTCATCTCAGCAGGAGGGAAAGCCGAGAAAGTAAATCGGGATAAGGGGGGACGAAAATGAGAAATAAAGCCCTGGATGCGCGTTTACTTCCCGCAGAAGAGCCCTCCGTTCGCTCTCCTGTCCCGGTCCAGCCCCAGCGACAAGATGTGTTCCCTCCTCCTGCAGCCCAGTGTGCACTGCAGGCCGCTTGGAGGCGCCATGGCTCCGCAGTAACCCGTGTGTGCGCGCATGCGCGTACCCGTTTGCCTGTAACAGCATTACTGCCATGCACCAGTGAAAGAGGATGCCAAAGTGCAGCTTTTGAACAGATCTCTCCTCCAAGACTACTTAAACTCCACAAACAAATAGTAATGTCTGTTTAGTATCAGAAGAAATTACAATTTTAGAGATGTGGCCCTTAGTGGAACACACCCTGGGGACATGCCGGGCTTTAAAGTTCCTGAGGTTTTAACAGTTTATCTCACACATGTTGCGAGAAAGAATGAAATAGAACAGGATAAAGAGCAGACTTACCCCCCCCCCCCCCCCCCCCCATAAACACACAGACACACAAAGGGCCCTCATTTGTGTCTGGTGGTCTGCTTGCAATTAGTAGGCAGAGTGAGAGGAGTTTATACTCCGTGTAAACACTGACAGACTATCCATGAGTGTGCTCACCATGTTTATACCCATGTAGGTGCTTCAGCCACCCGTTTGCCTATTTGTATGCATTAACCACGTTGTGTCGACATGTTGGGAGGTCTCCCTTTTACAGGATTTACCATGTCTTTACACATCTGCACAGACACTTACTTTCACTGTGACTGTAAAACATGTTTCCTCATTGTTGCTGATCATGTGTTGGCTGCAACAACACCAATTGCCAATTTGCTGCAGAGCTACCAATGCATTAATAACCGTGAACACTGCCGCTAACGTGTTATCCAGGCCAGAACACAGGCTTCTACATCCGTTACATGATAGGCTGTCAGTTTGGAGAGGGAGATAAAGAGGTCATTAGGGTCACCTGAGTATGGAATCCATGTCTTTTCCACTGAAGTAGGGTATCTGGATCAGACCTGCTCAGTCATTAGACATAGTTACTCTTGCACAATAACATATGCATACACGTTTTGACGTTTTAGTCTTGCATGCTTAATTTAACTTTATCTGAATCTATAGTGGGCTAGGCTCAGTTTAAAGGTGGTTGGAGGTGACACAGCAGTCAGCATTTTTGCCAAGGCGACGAAGTGCAGTTGAGAGTAAAGAAGAGAAGGAGGACGAGGAGGAAGAGGAGGAGGAGAAGGGCAGCTGCTGACCAGAGTTATTACTCTCTGAATCTCTTCTCTCTGTCTTGGCCAGGGAAGGGTTTTTCCTTAAAAAGAGAAGAAGAGAGCAGTGGAACAGTGTGTGTGTGTGCGCGCATGTGATGGAGAGATGTGGGGGTGGGGGGGTCTGGTCTCTCTTAAAAGTGTGACTCATAGAATAGGAATGACCTCCCTACCAAATAGGAGTAAACCAGTCTAAGCCTCCCTCTCTCTCGCTCTCTCTCCCTCTCTCTCTCTCTGTTCCCCTCTTTCTCACACAGACTCTCTCTCAATCTTTAATTAGTTCTTTATTTCTTTCACATGGACTAAATGAATATTTCAGTCTGGGTGGATTTCTGCATAATCAGGTCCAAAATCATAAACAGCTCAACTCCCCCAACATCGCTACAGCTTTTTCACTCCCTGTTCCACAGAAAACACACAAGAGACAACTCAAATCACTTCACATGCAAACATGCACAAAGGCAAGGTGACAATAGACACATAAAGTGCAAGGATGTGAATGTAAATGCAAATCCATACAAACTTCAGATACATGCTCATGCTATCTGCAGATACAGATACAAAACGACTCTAAGCTCTAAAGGTTATTTACAGTTTGGTGCTAACCTCTGTAACTGTCTTTATATCTTTGGGCGTGATTCTTCCATTTTTCCAGATGTTTTGAAGTGCAGCTCCTGAATCTGAAATGCTATATTTAAGAACAAATAAACAGGGTATTACATTAAACTTATGATAAGCCAACCTTTATTCCCTTTCCTTTTGCTTCTTTTTGGAATCTTTCCCCCTCCTTTTCTCCAGATGTGTTTTCTGTTCAGACAAGGCAGCTGGGAGTTGTTACCTCAGTGCTTCATGAAATTGCACACACATACACGCACACAAAGTTGTGAACACATCATACACACATAAAGTCAAGTCCATGTGTGAAACGTATGTCACTACTAGCAAATTTCAGTGGAAAAAGGTTCTGCTGTGGTCTGAGAGTAAGATGGTAGTGATACGTCCAAATGCTTTGGCTTCAAAAGCAGGAGGAAATTGGGTCTCAGAAAAAAGAGCCAAGACAAAATTCTGAGGAACAGTCCACCACACACACAAACACATACACACAAATCACACATATATACTGTATGTGCACAAATGCTGTAAATTATGTGCAGCAATGTGCATCACCATGCAAGTGGGCACACCCATGAACACAAACAAGCAAACACACATGCAGGGGCTTTGTGGAATGCTCTGATAAGTGCAGTTTTGGCTCAGGATCTGTAAAAATGACTTCGACGCAGGAAGAGATGTATCAAACAGTCCAGACACGT